TCAATACTGAAATTAATAAACAATAAGTTAAGTCACAAATGATGCAAATATACAAGCTTGTTTTCACCTAACAAAATGATATTCCATGAATAAAAAGTTTACATAATTTCAAAGATTTACTGTTTTCTCCCCAAAATCTAGAGACCTTAAATAGCGACCCAGCCTCCCAAATAAGTATTATACACCTTTACTATTGATTTAATGTCATAGTGTTATATACCAAATTGTTTGAAAATGTATTACCTTTAAAATGATATATAAGTCAATGTACCACATTGAACGTAACTATTTTTATCCTGATTTAAAGTTGGGTATTGGTTTTTTTTGGCCCACCCTGTATATTAGGATAGGATTCTATATTATTCAAAAGAAAAAAATCCCATGACAATAACGCAAATGCGAGTAGGTAGTTACCAGTTTCACCACCAGGTGACTCGTTCGGGTCAGATAGCATGGCGGGTATAGTATAAAGTTCCCTTTAACTTAAATTACATCTGTTTTAGTGGTTCAATTTACACATAGCTCTTATGTATCGAATAGTTATGCAAATTAAAGTATGTCCAGTAAAAGAAAATGTTATTTGTCCAATACAAGAAAAGATATTTCACTTTTTGTGATTTTGTAATATGGGGTCTATGGGGAATCAACCCGAACTAGAAGTCACATTTTCAAAAAAGATTAAATTTTCAAAGTTGATAAACAATTTTCGAAACCATATTTTTAGATGTATTTTTACATGTAGATTTAAAATATGACATCACTTTGACTGAATTTTGAATATTTAATGACGTAAATCAAGATCATTTTTACTCGCATCTACTCTATTATAAAACGAGCGATTGCTAAATTGATACTTACCCCCCATAGGCAGACATATACCAATGTCTCCATAGTAGTGTCATATATATTTTAAAGCTTATCCAAAGTATCATGGTTCAACTCACAAATGGGAAAATATTAAAGGCATTTCAAAATTTAGTGTTTGGCTAAAGTAAAGTTCAGTTTTACGCCAAATTTATAGTTGGTGTGTCTCCCTTTGCCATGCAAACAGCAGCAATTCTTTTCAGATATGATCTTAAATGCACTTCAAATAGAGGTATGGCATTTTGTAATCACCATAAAACCTTTTAAGGCATTTTAGAAGAGTTTCGTCGGAGTATCTGCCTTTACCGTCCTATTTTACCAACACGATATCCATACTATCGTTGATGATAACACCCATATTTCTGGTCACATACAGGGCTGTTTCCAGGACACTGGATTGAACTTTATTTTGGCGAAACACTAAGTTTTAAAAAGCCTGTAACTTTTTCCCATTTGTGAATTGAACCGTGATACTTGAAAATTCAATGTAGCTTTTGATAAGCTTTAAAATGGTGAATGATAAATACTGCCAAGATGGGGTCCCATACTTTCGGGACACCCTGTACATCTACATGCAGTTTTTGATCTGAGAGCTCTTTCCTATAATACTATCTTCATAATTTTTAAGTTTCTATTGTCATCTGAATTCATTACAAGTAAATATATAGGCGCTTTCAAACTACATTTTTGCCAGAATACAAAATGCACTTTCAATATCATTCACAGAGTTAAAAATGTTGCTTTCAGTTTCCCCAGACTTCAAACTCTAGACTCCATTAGACATCTAATTTTCTACTTGATTTGCTTTTGCATCATACGAATCAGATAGACGCATGTTCTGAGGGCATCAATGCATCCTTCCATCCCAAAATGTCGCATTTCATCGGTGAAATGACGATTCGATGATGGATGCGAATACACAAAGCCTAACGTTAATATGATGGGTTGGTGCCTAGGCCTTTGGGAAAATATCATATTTCTCTATCGTTGAGGTTGTAATCCCCATTGAAAAGTCAGGAGAAAACAATAAATTCAGGATTGCCTCAAAAATGGCTAAAATGGTCGGGAGTTTTTATTTTATTAGTCAAGGAAGAGTTAGGGAATTGTATCGAGTACTCGAATCTATACCATGTACTCTACTCTGTATATGTAATAAATAGACATGACTCGAATCATAATTTACTGCTAAAGCTGTAAAAATTACCCGAGGGGGAGGGGGTGTATGGGGGTATGGAAGTTCATATACGAGAATGACTAGATCAGTCTACAAACTTACGCCAAAAAAGCGCCCTAAACTGAGCGGGTGATTATCAAGCTTATGTGTCAACATAGTGTCACTTTGTTGATATGCCTGCGATTTATTTGCCAGATGCAGTCTTAGGGTTGCCTTGAGCCAAAATAGAACAAGATCACATTTCACTTTTCAGTCTTGCTTTTAAGAATTCACTGGAAAACACTATCACAATGTCCCCAGATCTAATAGATAATTAGGTTAGTTTTATATTGGTTGACTATCAAGTTTTAAAAGTTAAAAAGTACAGTTTAGTTCATGTGTTGAAACTCAACAAAGTATTTCAGATTGATATTCAAATCCAGAAAATAATACAGAATTAGAAAAGCCCTGTTTATGTTCATTAATAAAGAGGACAATAAAAATTAAAACAGTTGGAATATTCAAGCATTTTGCAATTGATCTGTTGATTCAATGAGTTTCTTTCTGGAATTCTGTTGATGGTAGTAATAGTAATTTACAACTGAGCTGTTAACAAAACATGTGAGTTTTAAGTGAAGTTAAAACATAAAAATATTTTGTTATTAATTTCATATTTGTGTGTGCTCTAAACTACTATCAGTGAACAGATAGTGAAAGTACCATATGATAGCGACGAACCATTACTTTCAAACATATATTTCTGAATTGATATGATCTGCAAGGGCAAAATGTCAAAACTTTTTAATATACTAATCATGTGCTTAAAGTATTCCTCAAGTAGAAATTTAAAGTTAAAAGATCCCAGAAAACAGAAAAGAAAGGTAATTTTCAAGATTGTTTATATTATTTGTTGCATTGGTTAATACAATAATCATTCTGATCAAATGAGGCTCCCCTTTTCGTAGATTGTGCAATATACCATCACCATGCTGCATTGGGTGTGGGGAGGGGAATTTTCACTGTTGAGGATATCAAAAGTTATAAAACATACAATGTTTTACGAGAAATCAAACAATTTGGAAATGACATCCTTAATATGGGTGAGGACAATTACTTAACTTATATCTCTGATAGCAGTTTTGAAGTACATTTTTAAATACTGGGATAATATTAACAAAAAATTTTACATGTATTTATGCATTTCATAATTTCAATACTTTTATTTTGTGAATATATTAAAAAATTAATTCAAGGTCAACGATAAATTTAATTTTGATGCACACACATAGTGCACTTATGTTAGTGCACTTATGTTAACAAGCATTACCTCAGAAAAAGCATTGACCTTTCTCAACTTGCTAAATGATATTTTTCATAAGAAGGGAGTTTCAAGATATGTATTTCTGTAATTGAGCACTTATTTATAAATAAGTCATTGCTAAGTTACTACTCTTGAAAGCTTGAATTTAGTTTGTTGTGAAGTATGTCAGTCCCATGTAGTTTCATATGCTCTCACTTTTGTGTATTATACATTACATTTATTCTACAGATGTTTTAAGAAGCTTTGTGCCTGAGAAAACGCATGGGCCTTTCTCATCTTGCACCAAAAATGATTTTTCATCAAGAATTTCAAGCTCAAGATGAAATGTATTCTACTTCTGTATATTTGATATTGAGCATTATATGTTATATTAATTAATTCAAAGTCAACAATGAATTATTTTGATGTGCACACTTATTCAAACCACACTAGCATTATGTATGAGAAAATGGAGGGCCCTTTCTCATTTTGCTCAAAAATGATTCTTCATCAATTATTTTTTCCCATTGATGACAAAATAATGGATGAAAACTTATATTCATTCTAGACATTGTACACAGGCCTATAGGATCTCAAATACTCATAGTGTAAATAACCAAGTACAACTGCCCCATTCTGAATCTATCAGCCTAGGGTTAAAAGTAGAATTGTCTGAAGAGTAAAACATTGTTGGTTACTATTAAATTTAGTTTTATAAAATATGTTACAAATTAATAACTTGTGAGTGCCCTGTGGTATTTCTAGAACGCACGACGTATCACAATACTGGATGAGAAATTCTACTTTTGTAAAGGTATGTCCATATAATCAATATTGTTTAATGACAAAATAAAAAAATGTGGTTTGATTCCACTATAGCCCATTTCACTGTTTTATTTCGTCAGTAGAACCCCAAAAATAAGAAAAGAATTTCAGCTATGTTAATCTTTTTGAAAATACTCTGGCAGAGAAGCATCAAAATATAAGAGGCCACATACTTCATTAGGAGATCATATATTATTGCACAATGATCTTTTTATTTCTTATTTTTGGTTTTTCTGAGGAAATAAAACAATGAAATGGTACATATTTTCATAGGATTATACATGTTATACTATAAGCATGAAATGATGATGGCTGAGTGGGTTTAATAGTGAGTTAGTTATCAGTAAATAGATTAATATTCTCAATACAATTCGCATATCATAAGTAATACAGTTGAAGTATCATCAAAGCAAAATATCAAAGTAAGTTGCATTTAAATCGGAGTGTAGAATTAAGTTTTCCGTATACCTACTCTGTATTGGATGCTCTGCACTGAGCCTTCCAGCACAGTATACAAGTAAACTAGCGTTTAGCCAGTAGGATAAAAAGCATACAAGTTGACCTAAAGCTGAGTATATAGAGTATCCCATTACCATGTTACAGCAGAACTAGACCACTACAAGACCAATGAATCTATCTAAGCATATCACTTGGTGACAGACTGTTGACACTAATTTGTAAACCTTGTCAGAAGCTCTAATGTGTTTTTTGGTAGCAAAATTGGCGTATGGTTATAGACTGAGATTACGTTTATCTATTTTAAATGCGTTGTCTGATACACTACCTTGTTTTGAACTACAACTGGCATCCATACCTTTCCATCAGACAACTATATAATAGTCTCTCTCATACTTGCAGTGGTTTGAACTTCGTCGACTTGATGATAAGACAGGGGGTAACAGAAGGCCCTCCCAAGACTCCCCTCGTCATGGGCTTCGAGTGCAGCGGTGACGTTGAAGCGCTTGGGGAAAACGTCACGGACTTTGTTGTGAGTACGGAGGGTCTGATTGCGCATAAGCTTCAGATTTATTTCAAGAATATTTAACTAATACGAGGGTGGTTCATAATATAAGGTGCACTTAGATTTCATTTCAAAATTACACATTTACATTTAGTCAATGCTAAGTGTTTAGAGATGATTTATTTTGGAAGTTGCAACATTTCTTTGAGGTTGATTAGCTATATCTCCTTATTTGGTAAAATTATAGTTTCTATGGGAACCAAAATTAGGGTACTGCGGATCAGATTGTATTTCCCATACATGCACATTAACCGTATATATTGTTATTTATTTTCCATCATTGGATTTGACAAAATACGCCATCGGGTATAATTAACTTGTAGTTACTTCACTTTTCAGATTGGAGACAGGGTTATAGCGTTCTGCGATTATAACGCGTGGGCAGAAACCGTATCAGTACCAGCAAAACATGTCTACAAGATGCCTACGGGCATGAGCTTTCAAGACGGAGCGGCTCTTCCGATGAATTATCTAACTGCCTATATCATATTGTTTGAGCTTGGGGGACTGAGAAAGGGGCAGTCGCTCCTTGTGCATTCCGTAGGGGGAGGTGTGGTGAGTATGATTCTGTAGAATAGAGAATGACATGACGCAACATCTTATTGATTGCCATGGTAGCTGCTTAAATATTAGTCTTAAATATTAGACATTAGCGAATCTGTATATCTTCCTCTACAAGTATGCCAAATTTCAGTCTGCTAAACCGAGGGGAAGGGTCAACCTTTAAAACAGCCTCTTTTTTAATTTTTTCCTCGCCTATTAATTAAGGGATGAAGTACACGGGGTGGAATCGGAAAGACTTGTCCGCTATGGGGATCAAACTATTTTCTTAAAATGCTTAGAATATTAGAATACCTCACGACACATCTTGCAACTTGTTTGATACAGCTCGGGTAGACATTTTTCACATTGCTTGTAACTTCAGGAAATTGTCTCGCCATAGGTGACATCTTAGACATTTTAGAGGATGTAGGATATGACTGATGAACCGAACCCTAGCAATTTAATATGGTTTAGTCGCAGTTTAAACTAAACGTCAGACATTTTATAATAATTACATCTTAAGACCAAAAGGAGGAAATTACAACAGCTGAAACTTTTGTATCCCTTAAAGGGTGACGCATATCGTTTAGCAAATCGAACGCTCGTTTCTGGTGTTGCTCACCGTTTAGTATATAAGGCCCGATCCCGGAATAATACTCAAGGGTTCACAGGCTCGAGGTCGTTGTGTCAACACCTCTAACTGTTATATAGCATAAGTATATTATAGATCGTCACATATTTATAAAACGGTGATTTTTATTTTGACAAATCAATTCCACATTTATGGGTGAAGTTTCAGGATCTTCTATTTGTGTATAATAAGGAAAAATTGACATCTAAATTTCCTCATAACGTAATAGCACACAGCTTGGTATATGAAATATCCTACAAATGAAACAAAGCAGTTCTAATACAAGGATTTATATTGGCTGTTGTACATATTCTTTGAACGCAATCACTCTATGGATAATGTTTTCAAAATCATTATAAACGGATTACTTTATCTCAAAGACAATTTCAATAAACTGGATTTTACAGAACTCCCCTTATTTCTTAAAAATGGACTGATCCAGTCGATTCGCCATATTGTTTTTATACGGGATGCTTATCGGAACCCTTTAAAGGCCCCATGCAAAGTTTGAAAAAAATGTTTCGTCATCCATTTACTATTTTTAATGACTTAAAAGTTATTTTAGTGAGTTTTGAAAGACAACTAGCTTTAAAAAAAATTGTCAGTGAAAAAAATTGTCAGTTGTCATTTCTCAAATATGCAAATTTCCCGCCACTCAAATAAAGGTTTCAATCATCAACTATTCAACTATAGATTGCAAAACACATTACCTTATAGGACAATAGTTCTAGCCCCTTTTCAAGCATCTCTAGGAAATCAATATTAGGATTACTATATCAGGCGGTCCTAACTTCGACCGTTAATTTGAATTTTTGACCTACCAGGTGCTTGAAAATCAAGGATTGCGAGTCTCATACTGCACCGTTTTCTTCAAACTTATACCATTAAAAGCAGAACAAAATTGCCTTTCTGTCGGTGCATTACTTTATTGTAAAGAGTCCCTCGTTCTAGCAGCGTTTTGGTCCCCAGCTGTTAGAAGGCCTTCTTACAGCTGGGGACCAAAATGCCGCTGGAAGTAGGGACTCTGTTCAAGAGAATAATGTACCATCAGAAAGGGATTTGTGTTATGCTTTGAATGGAACAAGTTTGAAGAAAAACGGTGCAGTATGAGAATGTTCAACAAGGCCTCGTGGCCTAATGGATAAGGCGTCTGACTTCGAATCAGAAGATTGCAGGTACGAGTCCTGCCGGGGTCGTACCTTTTTTTGATAATAAATTCTAGTTGAAGACTCTGTCACTACATACATAGCACTTCTCAGATCAACAATTCAGAGTGCAGTTCTAGAGGATAAGATAAGGCGTCGGATTTCCAATCAGAAGATTTCAGGTTCGAGTACTGCGGGGGTCATTTTGTTTTAGTAAAAATTTCAGGGAAAGTTCTATAAGGGTATTACTCTGATGCATATTCTTGTCTGTATTTCTCTAAGTAAAACAATATACTACTGTCATCTCTAGAGAAGCTCATAGTTGGCCTTGGGCCTAATGGATAAGGCGTCTGACTTCGAATCAGAAGATTGCAGGTTCGAGTCCTGCCGGGGTCGTAGCAACATTTTGCCAAAATTTCAGAGTGTAGTTCTAAAGGAGAAGACGTCCGACTTCGAATCAGAAGATTGCAGGTTCGAGTTCTGCCGGGGTCATAGCTATACTTTTGGCAATAATTCAGAGTGCAGTTTCTGTATCTCTTTATAATTAGTATCTCATCCGATGTCTTCTCTCCTATGCATATACTAGTATATAATGGATTAGGCGTCTGACTTCGAATCAGAAGATTGCAGGGCGGGTCATAGCTATTGTTTTGGCAATATTTCAGAGTGCAGTTCTTATGGTACAAATCCGATGCACATTTTTCTGTGTTTCTTTTTAGTAAATCAGTTTAGGGCTGTCATCTATGATGTCATAAACAGTCGGCCTCGTGGCCTCATGGATAAGCCGTATGTCTTTGAATCAGAAGATTGCATGTTCGAGTCATAGCCCCGGGGTCATATAGCTATATGCATTGTTTTGGCAATATTTCAGATTGCAATTCTTATGGTACAAATCTGATGCGCATTTTTCTGTATATTTTTTAAGTAAATCACTTAAAGGCTGCCATCTCTACAGTGCGTATCAAAAAACGCAACAGATTTTTATCTTAGAAAAGTACAAAACCAGTGATAACAACATTGATTTCATTCAATGCACCATAAAGCCATGTGTCTCCTCTTTACAATGATATATCATTCATTGATATTTGGTCATGGTTGGGCGAGTAATCATTCCATTTGCAAAGTGGGCCAAAATTACTAATTAGCTTCGGGCCAAGTTTAAACATTGCAAAAGTCAGTGTACTGAGCCCGATGCAATATTGGACGAAAACATAAAACCAATGCTGACTGCATCCTTTTAATTCAATGTACCAAAAAGCCAAATTACTCCTCTTTGCAATGAAATATCATCCATTCACAGGGAGTCATCTCTGGCCGAATAATCATGAATTTTCCAAAGTGGGGCAAAATTCAGCTCGGACCCAAGTTTAAAACATTGTGAAAGTCAGTACAAGGGGTATAGGGGCTATTGGAAGAAGGTGTGACAGGTATGGCATGGACAGTAAAGTGTTCATACTCATACTCTTGCAAGAACACATCCTATACCCCTCCAAATTGCCACCACTTCCTTGCACATAAAGATGCGCTCATCTGTCCACGTCATGCATGGTTCAGCCCTGAGTCATCTGTGGGTTAAAGCAGAGAAAAGCAGCCCATGGGCAAATCTTTCTCGATGTTTTGCCATCTCTGGTGGAGGAATTGTGAGCACAGATGCTCCTGAGATAGCTCCAAAAGAAAAAGTCACAACAATTCAAATCAGGGGAACTTCCATTCAGTGGCACTTAGCCCTTCCACTGATTTTTTCAATATCTAAAACTTGGTGCAGAACCGATTTTGACCCACTGTGCAAATGGAAGGATGTCTCACCCAACCATTACCACATGTGAATGAATGACATCATTGCAAAGAGGAGAGACATGGCTTTATGGTACATTAAGTGAAATTGATGTAGTCATCACTAGTTTTGTGATTTTACGAGATAACTACTTCACACCGGAATAACCTGACTACGGTAACGTCAGATACCGTTGTCACACATGGCAGACATAACCGTAGCAATCTTTTGCCAAAATTTCAGAGTGTAGTTCTAAAGGAGAAGACGTCTGACTTCGAATCAGAAGATTGCAGGTTCGAGTTCTGCGGGGGTCATAGCTATTACACTTTTGGCAATAATTCAGAGTGCAGTTTCTGTATCTCTTTATAATTAGTATCTCATCCGATGTCTTCTCTCCTATTCATGTTACTGTTATCTCTGGGGACGTTCACAGTCGGCCTCGTGGCCTAATGGATAAGGCGTCTGACTTCGAATCAGAAGATTGCAGGTTCGAGTCCTGCCGGGGTCGTAACTATTGTTTTGATAAAAAATTTCAAGTGCAGTTCTAAAGGATAAGGCGTCTGACTTCCAATCAGAAGATTGCAGGTTCGAGTGCTGCGGGGGTCGTAGCAATTGTTTTGGTAGAAAGTTCAGGGTAAATTTCAATTGAAAGCCCATGCTCTGATGCATATTCCTTTCTTTAATTAAAACAGTTTTGTACTATCATCCCTTGTGGATCACAGTCGACTTTGTGGCCTAAAGGATTAGGCGTCTAACTCCGATTCAGAAGATTGCAAGTCCGAGTCAATTTGGTAAAAATTTCATACTTTTTAATAAGGCTAGTACTGTCATCTCTGATGTCACCAACAGTCGGCCTCGTGGCCTAATGGATAAGGCGTCTGACTTCGAATCAGAAGATTGCAGGTTCGAGTCCTGCCGGGGTCGTATAACTTTTTTATAATTGATACTCAATTTTCGTTGAAGACTCTGTCACTACGTGTACATACATAGCACCTCTCAGATCAATAATTCAGAGTGCAGTTATAGAGGATAAGGCGTCTGACTTCCAATCAGAAGATTTCAGGTTCGAGTGCTGCGGGGGTCGTAACTATTGTTTTGATAAAAAATTTCAAGTGCAGTTCTAAAGGATAAGGTGTCTGACTTCCAATCAGAAGATTGCAGGTTCGAGTGCTGCGGGGGTCGTAGCAATTGTTTTGGTAGAAAGTTCAGGGTAAATTTCAATTGAAAGCCCATGCTCTGATGCATATTCCTTTCTTTAATTAAAACAGTTTTGTACTATCATCCCTTGTGGATCACAGTCGGCTTTGTGGCCTAAAGGAATAGGCGTCTAACTTCGATTCAGAAGATTGCAGGTTCGAGTCAATTTTGTAAAAATTTCATAATTTTTAATAAGTTTTGTACTGTCATCTCTAATGTCACTATCAGTCGGCCTCGTGGCCTAATGGATAAGGCGTCTGACTTCGAATCAGAAGATTGCAGGTTCGAGTCCTGCCGGGGTCGTACCTTTTTTGATAATTGATACTCAATTCTAATTGAAGACTGTTTTGGTAAAAAAGTAGATATTGAGGATGCATCATTATCTACATACATAGCACCTCTCAGATCAACAATGCCGTCTGGTAGAACAAATTCACAAAACAGCATTCAGGTCTACAGTGCTGACCGAGCACCCCACCTGTCAACTTGTATTCCCTATCAATAAACAGTACTGTGTAGCACTATTTAATTATGATGCATGTTGGCGGGTTACAAGCCCCGCCCAGGGGTACAAGCTATAAAGGGGTCAACTCAGTTCTATTCATGTTTGTTTTTGCAGGGTCATGCAGTGTGCCAGTTGGCAAAGACGGTAGAAGATGTACAAGTGTTTGGTACCGCCTCGTACAACAAGCATGACGCCATAAAGAACAATGTTTCTTACCTATACGACCATGTAGTTGATTACGTGCAGGAAGTGAAAAAGTACGTTTTCGTGCTGGCACTATTTGGACTATTTTTACTTCACTGGCCTTTATTTGCCAAATTAATTATGAAGGTGTGAGGAAAATTGTTGGTATAAAGTCCCCGTTTAATCCAATTGAGAGGTGTGAACGACAAGTCCTAAGGGTCTAAATGTTATATATTTACGTTCAGGTTTTTCTAAATTCCTCTTTAATCATTCAACGTTTACGTCCATGGTGTTTTGGGCAACTATATAAGAGTTAAAAGTGTTCTTGAATATGCCTTGCGGGAGTTCATTAATCGGTACCATTTTGTTGACAATAAAACAATAAACCTCAAAACGCATTGATTTGATATTAAAATGTGTGTCACACCTGGTTTAAATTAAAAATATGATTTACGCCCGATTTTACGACACCAATTAAGACCCAAAACGATTCGTGCATGGTTAAAACTAATTGTTCGCCAACCCCGATTTGACTCCAACTCCTTAAATGCGGGTATGATCATATATCGTTCTCCTTTATTTTAGAGTATCCCCCGAAGGAGTAGATTTGGTGCTAGACTGTCTCTGTGGAGACGATGTTAACAAAGGGATAACATTAGTCAAACCTATGGGCAGATATATTCTTTATGGTAAGTTGAATTTTAGACCCTTGTCAAACGCATGTACAAACATTTATCCCACGATTATTTGTGGTATCTGTACATTAACAGCAAGTGATATTTCTGATATTATGGAGATCAGTGTGATATTTTTCAGAACATTTTTATCAGCCCCATAAGCCGCTGGTATCGTTTATCAATCACTTATCTGATATCGTAGCTTTATATCCGAATAACGAATTTGAATTTGTGATGTCATAGGATAAACCAAATATCAATCCATTTCTCATGATATCATTTTATTGCATCGATATCAAATATCAACACTTATTCTTGATATTTGATATCAATTCGATAAAAATCATACCACTGAAAACGATCTGATATTCTGTAGCTTTTAAGTTAGTTAGTAAAATATTTATTAAAGTCTCACACTGTAGTTAAACAATATACATACTAAAATATAATACAATAATTAACAGTCCCGCCGGCTTCGGCGTATGAGAGACTCAAGAAAGCAATGTAAAAATATATCAAAAATATGCTCAGATGTAAAAGTTTTAAATATCATATTCTCTTCTATTGCACATTATTTTATGTATAGTTTTTGCCAATGGTCTTTGTAAAATAGAGTTGTTCATAATTGAGCAGTATTTAGCAAGACTAGATAAAGTATTAAAGTCAGTGATTTCATCTTTGCAAAGTTCAATAAAATCCTTTCGTGCATCAGTATGAAGATCACAGTCAATGAGGATAATGATATGCATTTCATCTTCGACCCCTTGTTGACACATGCATAATCTTTCTTGAAGGGGAATACCTTGAAACCTGCCTGTTTCAACCTTCAGCGGTAACGTTCCTGAGCGTAATCTTGCTAAGTTGCTGCGCTCGTGTTTATGCATGGAAATTGTTACATAGGGTTCTGGTTGTGAAGCATGGATTTTATGAAGCCGGTATACTCGTAGCTTATTACCATTTACAGGGTTACGGTTATCGTTCCACAATGCAGTATACCATGACTCGTGTTCTTTTGCAACAAGAATTTCTTTGAATTGTTTCAATTGTAGTTTTATGTTTCTTGTTTCAACATTAATAAGATGTTCCACTCCATAAGACCGCAGCATATTCTGGGTAGCTTCCTCCCATGAACTTCGTTTACCATAAGAGAATAAGTGGATTATCTTCATCACTCTAGAATTGTCCATATTCTGTAGCCGACACCATGTACGTGCTATTTCGACTTTTAGCGTCGCTGATATGGGGGTCCAGGCCATGTCACCCTCCGTGGCTACATTAGGAGCATGCTGGCCTACTCCTAAGAAAAAACGCCTTGCTTTATTGGTTTAAGAAGCTGTCAATCATGTATTATGCGTGCTTACTTGACATTATTTGTACCACATCATAATTTTTATTTTCTCTGAAAAATAGGTTTATATCGGAAATATATTTTATTTCAGGAACCTCTAACATTGTTACCGGGGAAACAAGAAGTTTCTTTAGCCTGGCAAAATCCGTGAGTACAGTACTTAGATAGTGGCCCAAAAAAGAACCAATAGATCATTGGTCGTAAATATTTTTTGAGCTAGGGTTATGCTTTTTGGGTCACCCTGAATAAATTCCATTCCTACTTAAAACAAACACAACGACGATGTACATATACATATTCTGTACCATCTCGATCTTGTTTTTATCCCTATTCAAGAATTCAAATTGCACGGGTTTCATGTTACTTACCACTTTTTTTCAATTCATTAAAATATGTTATGTTAATTATAATGGCGGCGACAATACTCTAGGATAAAGTTTTCCCATTACTCGTGAAATTGTGCCGTCTTCCTAATTCTGGCTCTGCGTGTCAACGTTAAAGTAATGAGTGGTTTGCAGTGATGCAATGAAAGTGTGGAAACGCACTCCAGTACCTCATTTATCCTTATTTTGTCTCGCCTATTTACATTTGCTTTGCCTATTTACATTTTCCTCGCCTATTTTTCGTCATGGTTGCGTCAATGCTGTTAAATTGACTTATTACCCAAAGGCTTCAAAGTGAAAGCAGCCTCTACATGTATGCCATGCATAGTAAATATTCCTGTAAAAGAAGGAAATAACCCAGAATTCAAATGTAAATAGAGGTTCATCTTAACATGGACGTGGGTTCATCTTTGAATTCTAGGTAATTTCTCCATCATTATTGTATTCCAGTGGTGGCAGGTGGACAAGATAAGCCCAATGAAGTTATTCGAGGAGAATAAAACGATTACAGGATTCCATCTTCGCACTCTATTGTTCAAGCAGGACAAGCATGAGTATGTCAGGGGACTGATGGACACACTGTTCAAGCTCTACAACACAGGCAAGATCAGACCACAGATTGATTCAGCGTATGCGTTTGAAGATGTAAGTAAAGAGTATTCAGTTTGACTACCCTGCACGCAGAGTCTAGTTAAACTACGAAGCTCTCTTTTAAGAAGTGAAGTCAAACGAATGCAAAGGGTACAGTTTGACGCACATTGTAACAAAATTATGACGGCACATTCACTACGTCTTTCAGCGTAAATTTTGGAGTTTTTGTCAGCGTAGACTTAAAAGTATATAAACTTTGGTGAACAACAATTTCGGGAATACATGTGACATATATTATATAGAATGTGTTTGGCTGTGTTTATTGAATGTTGCCTTTTCCGGGGCCTTTTCACTGATAAATTCCGTCGTGTCAATCAAATACGGTACGAGCGTAAGCATGGGCTTTCGAAAGATGTACAATGTACGTCTTTAAAATCAATGGGATGATAATTTCATTGTAAGTGCCTGCTGCTATATGTTCCCCATTTCGTAAAGCACTTTTAAGTACGCAATGTTTTCTTGTAGATTGGTGAAGCAATGCAGAAGATGCATGATAGGAAAAATATCGGCAAGATTATCTTAGACCCCGGACTCCAATCCAAAGATGCCCAGTCTGCAAGTGAGACAACGGCAAGCTCCGACAGCACGGAAAAGGAAGCAGAAAAGTAACAATGCAAAACGTACTCTTATCATTCCAATCAAGGGCGAACGTAATACCCGGAACGTTCGCAAATTGGCCGCAAATTTTTACCGCATCCGATTTGAATTAGCCAGTTATGTACTTCATATAGTATTACATTTTATGGACGTATAGACATACATGGGGCAATTGAGTCAAATGCCTCACTAAAATTTTACTGAAGTATATTTGTGCAGACATTTTTCAGTGGAAACCGTGAAAACCATGTCAATTAGTTATTGGCTCCTATTTAAATATGCCTTGCCTAATTATAAGTTCCAGTTACCACCCTCCATTTTAGTTCAGAAAAGAAATTGTGTGCTGAACACTATAAAATAGTGGATTGTTGTTTGACACGCATAGTTTAATACACTAAAAAGTAGAGACGTTGAAGATTGTACATTTCACTGGGTAAGACTGCATAGGGTAAAATAGTAAAACCTGTCTAATTCGACCACCCTTAGGACTGGCCAAAATTGTTAGAATTTCAAGTGTTTTAATTTAAGGATGTGAGCCAACCGTATATAACCGAGAAAGGGTGTTCACATTGGGAGGTGTTCGGACAAGAGAGGTGTTAAGATATAAAGGTTTCACTGTATTTTGAGAAAAAGATGCAATTGAGCCATAAGCCACTGTTGCACTAAACAATTTAAAAGGACATTATTCCAAGAATGATATCAGGCTGCTACATTGGTAAAATAATTCCATTCATGAAATTATGACTTTATGACTCATAAAACATAGAAAACGTCAACTTCATCTGTCTCTAAGCTTTTTCGCCACTGCAAAATAAATAATGATGTATTGAATGTATTTCTGTGCTATCCACGAAATGATATATTATTTTATCAAATATAAAAACACTGCCAAGGAGGATCAACCTCTAAAGACCTCAAAAATTTATAAATATACATTTTGCAGCTTAGTTGCTAAAAATATGTTTTGGGATCAGCCTCAGAGGTTTACCAATGCATGAATGACTTTAATTTAAAGTAGTATTTATATTCACATTATGAATAACTATAATAGAAGGTAGTATTTATAGTTAAGGATACATAAAGGTGGAAGATATTTCCCAATACATGTACTTGTAATTATAGAAATTATACAAAAGAAGTGCCACATAAATGTCATGCAACAGAAGTGTATTTAGAGAAGCTAAAGACAAAACTGGGATTATCTAGGGTCCCTCGGTGTGATATAGATATATCCCTCTGGATAAATACTACATCCAAGACCTTCCATTGCATAACCCGCATAACTCCAAGTAGAGGTACGGAGGGACAATATTTAAAAGAAAGGACAATGTTCAATCCAACAAGTTTGACATACGAGCATGACCTCTCGTGATCTGTTCTGTTTGAGAATTTCCTTTGGGCACATTATGTACTTAGTATGAAAAAATATAATGAAAAATAATCATGTTATGTTTAGATATATTTATCCTAGTAATTACTTCATGTCGTTTTTCAATACTGTTCATAATGTGAAGCACCTAACTCATAAAACACAAAATTGATTTTTTTGCAAAATGAACTGTTTTGTATTTCACAGAAAGTTATTTGATGTTTCATATATAAACTGATTGTTGATTGTTAGTCCTAACCAAATTGATGTACACAGTACTGTATGGATTATATGAAATAAAATGTTATGAAAAATAAATCTGATACTTAAATTAAATAAGACATAACATGGACCTTCTTTAGTCCAACCATGTAAGTAAGATGTTCTATAGTCTAATCATATTAGACCAATAGACCTTCTATAGTCCAATCATATTAGACCAATAGACCTTCTATAGTCCAATCATATTAGACCAGTAGACCGTTTATATTCCAATCACTTTAGACCTTCCATTGTCCAGTCATTTTAGACCGTGGCGTTGAGTATGGTGATAATGCAAATATTGCACTTCTACAGTCCAATCATATAAGATCTTCCTTTAGGGTTGTGTATAGGTGTAGCAGTTGGTCCACTTATACACCACTCATACCAAACATTCTTCTCGGTGCATCTTCTCCAGAAATGTAAGATCACCTTATCACCCTTGCGAACATACATGGGCTCCTAAAATTACACAGGAGATATTCATTACTCTTCATCGACTTTACAATCAACGACTTTGGCAGTGGCTAGGCTTTAAAGTATTATTAATCACAATTTGAGGTGTTCACATAAAGGGTTAGAAATAAATTCAAGTAAGCCTTGAATGGTAAGTTTTAACTGCCCGAGGCTTAAAAACTGTCTGATCTGAATGCCAGTGGTACCAAGGCCAAAAGTGTTTGGATTAGCAGGTGTTGACTGAAAATGAGATTCAAAATGGTAAAAACAAAAAAATTCATTGAGAATTGTTCGGGCTAGAATGTTTGGACATACAGGGTCAACTGAATTTGAATTTCTGAGAAAGTTAGCTACAACTGTAGTCTCAAATATAAGGAGAGGGGCTGTATATATTTTCTACTTACCCTTATAGGGAACAACATAGGGAACCAGCTAAACATGCCGTGTGAGTGGGTCTCTGGTACAATACCTGAAAAATACAGAAGAATGAGAGCTTTCTTTTGACATTCAAAACTTTTATCCATGTGTAAGTTCAGAACAGACGGATGGACAAAGATTTAGACAGATGAACAGATGAGTGAGTGGGTAATTCCATACATTAGCCAAATAAAGAATAGGTAGGAATATAAGAAGAGAGGATAGCTACACCTAGTATTGAGGTCCTACCCCTGTAAAAATCTGAAATACCCATGTTGAAACATAATATTCAAATAAATATGACAAGATTTAGAAATAGTCGACTTACTGAGGAAGATGTCTTTATAAAGTGTTGTTTCAAAGTAACCTCCAAGACCATGAATGACTGCATTTGTCTTTACATCAAACTCCATACAAGAGTAGCGGGAATTATCATGTTCCTCTGAAATAAACCAAGGCAATGTAATTTACCAAGCATGCCAAAAACCTAGTCTGCTCCTGCATCTTTAAAATTTTCAAGTTGAAAGGATAAGTGGTTTTCTTGGTTACAAGACATATGTGTCACCTGCCTGCTCACCCAGATGCAGGATGAAAATATAGTAATGACAAGGTATTAACATGACAAAAGTTATTGCAAATTGTTACAGACACCTAACTCCGGACACCAACTGCCAAACACAAACTGCCAAACACCATCCACAAAAAAGTTGGACACATATTAATACAAATAATAAACCCAGAAAAAAGTAGTTTCAGCAACTTAATCTTTTATACCTCTGTTTGGATGTTGGAAGTAGAACACAGGTTTGGGTTTGTCTAAAAGATGGCAGTTGTGTAGTCTGACGACATATGGGACTTCAAATGCAGCTTCAACAGGTTTTTCTTTGTCCTTACATTGTCTGACCTCGTTGTAAAGTTTGTGAGATTGCAGAGGTGCTATGAATGATGTGTAGTCGCATGGAATGCTGATACCATCATCTGAAATTTTAAGGAAGGATTACATTGCCTGACTTCATTGTAAAGTTTGTGAGATTGCAGAGGTGCTATGAATGATGTGTAGTCGCATGGAATGCTGATGCCATCATCTGAAATTTTAAGGAAGGATTACATTGCCTGACTTCATTGTAAAGTTTGTGAGATTGCAGAGGTGCTATGAATGATGTGTAGTCGCATGGAATGCTGATGCCATCATCTGAAATTTTAAGGAAGGATTACATTGCCTGACTTCATTGTAAAGTTTGTGAGATTGCAGAGGTGCTATGAATGATGTGTAGTCGCATGGAATGCTGATACCATCATCTGAAATGTTAAGGAAGGATTACATTGCCTGACTTCATTGCAAAGTTTGTGAGATTGCAGAGGTGCTATGAATGATGTGTAGTCGCATGGAATGCTGATGCCATCATCTGAAATTTTAAGGAAGGATTACATTGCCTGACTTCATTGTAAAGTTTGTGAGATTGCAGAGGTGCTATGAATGATGTGTAGTCGCATGGAATGCTGATACCATCATCTGAAATTTTAAGGAAGGATTACATTGCCTGACTTCATTGTAAAGTTTGTGAGATTGCAGAGGTGCTATGAATGATGTGTAGTCGCATGGAATGCTGATACCATCATCTGAAATTTTAAGGAAGGATTACATTGCCTGACTTCATTGTAAAGTTTGTGAGATTGCAGAGGTGCTATGAATGATGTGTAGTCGCATGGAATGCTGATGCCATCATCTGAAATTTTAAGGAAGGATTACATTGCCTGACTTCATTGTAAAGTTTGTGAGATTGCAGAGGTGCTATGAATGATGTGTAGTCGCATGGAATGCTGATACCATCATCTGAAATGTTAAGGAAGGATTACATTGCCTGACTTCATTGTAAAGTTTGTGAGATTGCAGAGGTGCTATGAATGATGTGTAGTCGCATGGAATGCTGATGCCATCATCTGAAATGTTAAGGAAGGATTACATTGCCTGACTTCATTGCAAAGTTTGTGAGATTGCAGAGGTGCTATGAATGATGTGTAGTCGCATGGAATGCTGATGCCATCATCTGAAATTTTAAGGAAGGATTACATTGCCTGACTTCATTGTAAAGTTTGTGAGATTGCAGGGGTGCTATGAATGATGTGTAGTCGCATGGAATGCTGATACCATCATCTGAAATGTTAAGGAAGGATTACATTGCCTGACTTCATTGCAAAGTTTGTGAGATTGCAGAGGTGCTATGAATGATGTGTAGTCGCATGGAATGCTGATGCCATCATCTGAAATTTTAAGGAAGGATTACATTGCCTGACTTCATTGTAAAGTTTGTGAGATTGCAGAGGTGCTATGAATGATGTGTAGTCGCATGGAATGCTGATACCATCATCTGAAATGTTAAGGAAGGATTACATTGCCTGACTTCAGTGTAAAGTTTGTGAGATTGCAGAGGTGCTATGAATGATGTGTAGTCGCATGGAATGCTGATGCCATCATCTGAAATTTTAAGGAAGGATTACATTGCCTGACTTCATTGTAAAGTTTGTGAGATTGCAGAGGTGCTATGAATGATGTGTAGTCGCATGGAATGCTGATGCCATCATCTGAAATGATAAGGGAGGATTGCCATATGAGACATTTTATTTGTCTAATCTGACAATTGAATTGGCCAGCAGCATTCGAATTGACAGGAGTTTATGTTCCTTCTCATTTACCCAACTTACGCATAGTGTGATGTTTTACAATTCTTTAACCGTAGCAGGCACATGTTTTCTACCAAACCAAACCGAAAATCTGTTTATTAATAAAATACATGTAAAAGGGATTAAAACATTGGAAACACTGATTTACACAATGGTCTCTTTTTGTGTACTCACATCAGGCCCGTAGCCAGGATTTGCCAAGGGGGGGTTCAGTTTTCAAAAATTTCCAGGGGGGGTTCACATTTGACAATTTTGGCCCAAATATGGCTAAAATCACTTGAAAAGTGCTCAAAATGGTGAAAAACTGCATGATTTTGAAAGAATTTTTGGCCAGGGGGGGGGGGGTTCGCCCGAACCCTGCGAACCCCCCCTGGCTACGGGCCTGCACATTTTGCAATTTTTGCAAGTACCTCAACTCATGGTACGATTTTTAATTTGTGGCATCCTGAATTCGTGATTCTGCACTCATACAAATATACATGAATTTAAGATGTCCACTTATTAATGAGTTTACAATAGCTATCAAGTTACCTTTTAGAAAAACCTGTGCGCCATCTAAGCATTCAGGGGAGAGCTCATTGTCACTGAACGATCCGAGCAGTTCACTAACGAGGATGTCTGCTTGTTCAGGAGCCTTCCATACACGCATGTCAGATGACACCACAGTCACAAGGTCACCCCAAACATCCTCCTTCAGATTCATGAGACTGAAAATATATGAAGAGAATTTATAAAGGAAAATTTCACGATACTAAAGATTCACAGTATAAAGCTGAAAGGATTTTTTTCATTCACTCAAAATATGTATAAAAATGTGTATAATTTAACTAGTTCAGTAATATTACCAAAATAAACATCAAACATTAATAAGCAAAAGCAAAGAAAAACAAAATGCTCCTGCATTCAAGAGGTTAATAATGGGAAATTCCATTGGATGACATATAATATTCAATCAAATTCAGTTCATGTTTGAAAAAATAAACTGATAAGTACATGTATTTCAAAAGTTGAGGTATTCCAAGATGAGAAAGAAGTACACTACATGAAGTCTTGGGAAAATACATCCATTTAACTTTCCACTGTTCTTAACTTATTTCTGTTCCTGTTTTTCATGAGTGCACTCCACTCTGTTATTTTAGTCAATTTTAATAATTTGGTACTTCACCATTCACCATAGACAAACAAGCTTTGATCAGGTACTTTTGCACATGAAACTTTACGAGAATGCCTGTTATAGACTTACGTGATGATTGCATTTGGATTCTTCTCAACTGCGTATAGTCTAACTTTACGCTCTGCTTTAGATGCTGCTTGGATGGATGCATTGACGAGTGGACCACGACCAGCACCTACTACCATTATCACACTGAAAATTACATTCAGATAATCGAACTGAAATTTATAATGTCATAATCACCCTGAAATTTATAATCTAACCAATTTGGCATAGTATTACCCAATATTATCAAAATGAGTTATGACAAATGTTAAATTCGGACAAGTGATTAAAATCTTTATATACAAAGGCATTTTTAACATAGATTCTACAATATTTTTGTGAAATTATAAATCATCATCTTGTAAATGTGAAGTAGGCTTGGTACATAGCTCTATGTTAGAGTAACTGGCAGGAATTTTATAATAATATCTATAATTCCTTTCCATATCTCTGCTTGGCCATGTGACTAAACATTCACAAGATTCACTACACATTCTTTATATTTTTTTTATCTTTATACAGTAAATACAGCAGAATTCAATTTAAAGCAATTTGTTAAAGTGTTAATATCACCTACGTGACTTTTGTGTCTTTTTCCTCCATCGGGACTCTGTCTAGTAGGGCACTGTATACTGCCTAGAAAAAACAAAGCAAATAGGGATAAATATTGTATTTTTGAAGAGCAAAATGGCTGCCATGTAATTTAACCAGCTTGCCCAAACACTAATCAGATCATGGCACTTAAGTCTGCTTTTGTATCTGTAAAAATTTTTAGTGGTCTTCCTGGAATTTTGATGACAAGATTCAAGTAGCACCACTGGAACTGGCAAAAAGTGATTTGATTAGCAGGTTTTTAAATTTTTAGGTTTTTTTCATGGACATTTATGGTAGCTATTTAAAATGGAACCGAAAGAGGTATTCCAAAATACAAGTTTCACTTTACATTTAATTATCTCTACTAAATTTAGTTGACTTGTCAGTACTGACCTTCTGATACATTGAGTATTTCACAGGATCTTTTTCAAACACTTCATACGTCTGAGACTCTAAGTTGTCCATGAGAGGCTGAAATACAAGACACATACATGTACCGAAAACTATCGCACTTTGAGCAGCAAATGACCACTGTGTAATTTACCCAACATGCCTAAAACCCTAAATAACAGGGTGTCAAAATCCAATGGCAACCCCCCCCCCTACATCAAAAACTCCTTCATGTTATATGGCATTTTATATCTCATTTGAAAAATAATCTGTTCTGCCATTTACAAAAATTCAAGCTGAATTGATAGGTAGTTTTTCTGGAATTTTGCCTGGCCACCCATCCACCCGGAAGCATGCATGCCAATCAGCACAGGACTATAATGATAAGGATAGGTATTCTGGCATATCCACCTCATGGTCATCCAGTATTTATTTTATTATGCACCTCCATTGAGAAATACTTTATTTTAAAGAATGGGTCTACTAAAACAGAATCCGAGCCTAGTATTTTTTTTCGAGGATAGGTATTCTGGCATACAGGATGGTTGGAGATCTAGTTGCTTCAATACTGGATAGAACGAGATCTTGCTGCCACGAATGGCAATAGACCCTGCAGCTATTAACCAATCAGATTTGAGTATTTTTATGAGGTGAATAATAATTATGAATATATCGAGGCTTGTTTAATTACCTGTAAGGGACATTGAAGGTAGTCTTCATAGCCTTTAGCAAACTGAGCTACAGGATCAAGGGGCTCACGAGTCTGCCACAAGTGTTCAAGATACTGCTGGTACGACCTGATACCTTTCTCTGGATGCCTGTTAGCCCCTGTGATGATCATCTGTGTGTCAAGCTGAATTCAGAAATAAACACCTATGTGAACACTGCTAATGCAAACACTCCTAATGTGAAGACTCCTGTGCAAACACTTCTGATATCAGGATAATTTTTTTCTCTGACATCTCAGGCAGTAAAGTGAAAAATCTAATAATTTTGTCTCATGTGATTTGAAAATGATGATGTACCAATGTACAGTGCGTGAAATCTTCTACTCAGTATGCATAGATACATTATAATGGATAAGATTTGTTGAGGTGAAATAATGAATAAGTAATGTGTTCTCATTACAAATGTAAGTAATTGTCCAATGTACCTTATAGAGGGCCTTGATTATCCCCTGGTGTGCCTTGGAGAGCACTGGGAAGCCCTTTTTGTTAGTCAAGAATATTGATGTAGGTAGAATTGCCACTTTAACTGGCTCTCCTAGCCAGCGCTCTATGATGTCATCAGACGGGAGGTCAGCTGTTAGCTCCAAGGCAACTCCGAGTTTCTTGGATCCGTCGCACATAGTTCTGAACTGATTCCACCTTAAAACATGTTCATTATTCATTTATATTTTTTCATTTTTATCATCTTTTTCTTCATTTCATCATCTTTTTATTCATTTATTGTACTAATTTGCATCTTGAGATCTATGCCTAAATGTTTAATCTATTGCAAAAATATTTACCATTCCCAGGTGTCATCCTTCCACTTGTCAGTGCTGCCATCTATAGTGCTGCCCTCTGACGTGTCGTCTGCCAGCTCTCCAAGGTCAAGGTCACATGTGTCATCAATGGGAGACTTCATAGGGACCTGCACCCAGTACTGCAATAACGCATGTTATATCTAATTAAAAATATAACAGTTATTGATCTTTAATACTCATTATTTGCCATTTTTCAAAAAATAATTTATATTCAAGATTTTGAATTATCTTCAGAATTTTCAAAACATTTTATTCCCGTCTGAAATGTTTCACAGTTTTGGGGATATTTGAATTTAAAAAAAAATTGCTTCAAACTGACCCCAAAAATTGGTTAAAATTAATTGAAAAATTGTTAGACATTCCAATTTCTAAGAATTACCTGTTGGTTGAAACCCCTGAGACCATGTTCATTCAATGATCTTGCAAATTGAACACAATTCTTGTTGCGTAGCTTAATTAAAACAGCTGGTACACTCAAATGTGCCATGTAGTTCAACTCCTGCAGAAACATCTGAAAACAAGAACAACATTCCATTTATACTTTCATCAACATTCACACATTTTCTCACTACTATGCATAAAAACATTATGATGCAAATGACTTGTTTTAATTATTAATGTCATCAGTGACAGATTCCCAAATTGAAAATATCTGAATTTTATTGTACAAAAATATGTATAGTGTAAATGAAATTGAACAATAGTGATATGAATGATGATCAGATAAGATATTTAGCCACCTGTCCAATACAGTAGAATTTGTCTGATCCAAACGCTACTGAGACTGGTTAAAAGACAACAAGATTAGCAGGTTTACATTTTGAGTTTTTTCAATGAAAAACTGACTGAAAAAGCATTGAGAGGTTTTTACAGTAAACTTGTCTAATCCAAACGCTACTGAGACTGGCCAAAAAAAATAAGCTACATTTTGAGTCTTTTCAATATATGGCAGTTTAAAAATATGTGACCAAAATAGCATTGAGAGGTATTTACCTTCTCAGCATTCTTCCTTGTCAGGGCATGTGGAGAATCTAGGGCCAAGTCTGTAGTAATCTTCCCAACAACTAGACTGCCCCAATCTGGAAAAATAAAGATGTATGCAATAAATAGACAGATTTTAGCTCAAATATGCATGTGCACTCTTTACAGGGAATATGATACACAGGTAATATAATGAAAAAGCAATAATTGTACAGGTTCCTATACTGTGTATGTATTGTTCACTCACCATTTGCAGTGAGGACCATATCAGATCTTGTTTGAGGACCAGTACGCCCTCTAGCAGGCCCACTCATAAACTCTCGCTTGAATCGAGGGTGAAATATTGGCACACTGATAAAGTCATATCTGAAATTAGATAAATCAGTTGCCTGATGTTAAAAAAAGATAACTGGGGAACAAGTGTATTATATTAGTAGTAGATGAAACAGTATAATTAGGTTTCTCCTTTGAAATTGATGACAAGAAAACAAAAGTTTGAATGAAAAAATGCTTACAAAAAGTTGAGTGTCAAGTTGCGTGTCGTTCATTGAAAACTGTATGATGAATGGATGATTTACATTATGCAACAATTTAAAACACTCACCCGCTTTTACATGCGCTGTCAACACAGCTTTGAATGTCAGAACAATGAGAAAAATCCAGACCACATGAAACTTTCTTGTGAGCCATTTTGAACCGGATGTGCTTGTACACTAATTTCACGAACGGTCGATATTGTGGTTCGGATCTCACACCTCAAGTAGTAGTTTATGAATTCAATTTTATTGTTAATACCCAAATCTGAGTAAACTAATCACAATAAGTATTTTCAATCAAATAATTGTAGACCTCATTTAAAAATAGTTACAAATGAATTACTACACACATGTTTGACTTTACAAAAATTGACAGGTCCCCAGATCAAGCTCTTCACAAGTGGAGTTACTAAAATGTTTGCAAGAAGTCAGAAAAATCTACCCCGCCTTATTTCAAGGATTGCTAGTAATTATGGACAACAATTAAAGATCCGATGTGACAGGAAAATTGTATATGTCAAGAACTTACAGGTAAGCATAATTCCTTAGTGATTTTCAAGAGGTTTATCACAAACAAATCAGATTGAACTTTGTCTGTCACTTTGACTTGAATTTAGAATGAAATTCAAATTGAAAGTGAAAGTAGGAATAGGCTACATAGTAAATGAATTTTACTCCACCAAATTCACATGATTTTTCAGAGGCTAACCTTTACCTTTGAGATCTTGGCTCTCGGTCTATGTCTATTATGTGGTTATTCTTTTGTCTAAGAATTCCTTGTCCAACAACATTGGACCTAGATCTACATGTAGCCTGGGCCTCGTTTCTTATCTGACATGTCTTATGGCCCTGGCTAGGCAAGTAAATTACTAATAGTAAAGAACGCCGTTATTGAGTTTAACGACGTTGAACTATGTATACATGTACTACACGACTAAAGTTTGGAACAGAAATAAAGGACAGGTGGATTTGTAGTCCAACAACATTAGACCTAGCCTGGGCCTCGTTTCTTATCTGACATGTCTTATGGCCCCGGCTAGGTCTAACTTCCATGATGATTTTGCCCTTGTTGCGATCATTTAATCGTTCAGCAGGTTTCGACATGCGGAACTAATTAAACTCCGAAAACATGGTAATATTACATAAAGAATGTGATTCAAGCATGCATACATACCTTATAAATACATACACACCATCCCGTACCCCCCTTAGACCATATTGATGCATAATTACGAAAATATTGGAGACAGGTTTGGAATTTTACGAAAATATCGGTCAGCTCCAGTAACATCGAAATTGCAAATCGTATCAGGAATTAACCGTCATTGCGACACTGCATCAACGAACAGTAGGTTTGCAATTAATAACGATTTTGTGTGTATACAAGCGCTATATAAATCAATCAAAGATACCTGCTATCCTCAAAAATGGCTATTTTATCCCGAGTAATCGCGTGATAATTATCAATCTATTTGACAACAATTTCGTTTCAATAGTTTAAATTTTAACCCGGGACGAACAGACACAATGAAGGACATGCGGAAATGTCATTTTAGAGATTGGTAAGTTTAACCTCATTTTACTTGTATAAATGACCATTTAATACAATAATATTGTGTTGAATCGCTTGATGTTATGTGTTTTTATATTGTTGTCAAGTATCAGTTGCATGTTATCGCGGAAAAATGGTTTCGGTGGATCCAAAACTTGCATCAATGGAAAGAATAGTAAAGAGGTTAAACTCAATAATGGCCCCAAGAAAATTCTTAATAATAAATAACGCCGTTATTGAGTTTAACGACGTTGAACTAGTGGATTTGCTGAAGTGAGGATTTCCCATGTTAAAACAAGAGAATTTTCAAGAGGCCATATATCAGTGGATGAGATTATACAAAATGTAAAATATACAAATTTTAAGGCATGTGTATCTAGACAATATTGCAATTTACATGCATGGGCTTTCAGATGACCATGGTTAGGGAATGGTGATAGAAAATCCACCTGTCATTTATTCATGTTCCAAACTTTACATGTATTACAACTCTTGTTGTGCTATACAATCTGCTTATTACAACATCGCAGGCTCATCTTGTCAGCTGTGTAACAAAAATTTCTACAGAAATATTTTTGCTTGACAATTACCAGGTAAAAAAACTGGCGTGGTTCAGATTCTTCAGCAAATGAGTGACAAATACGCAAATTGCGGGAGAGTTGACAGGCCTGTGTTTATGAAAGGATTATTTTTCTGTTTTTAGTTCCCATATACATGTACTTTGTCAATGCATTGCAGGACGTGTAGATGTTATGTGAAAACACAGGTTTTACATTGAATTTGTATCATAAGGTTTATGAATGATATTCTCTACATTTTTTATTAGGTGTGGGGATGGTTAAAGAAGCCTGTGGGTCGACTATGTATAGCGTGGGTACCATCTATGTTTGTTGTTAAGGCCTGGGGGTGGGGATCAAATGAGGAAAAACCTAAGGCACAAGAGATTCAGAATGGTAAGTTAAAACACCCCTCCTCCTGTTAATAGTTGATGAAGCTATGTATGTATGAAAGCCCCGAAAGCATGTTCTTTGGAGAAAGAAAATATGCCTTGAATTTCTTTTACATGTAGGTACAGTTGACCAAGAATTTCATATTCAGTAAATGACGTATAAACAAAATGAAAATGAAAGGAATTTGACAAAAATGAGATGGATGAACAAATATATATCCTGTAAAAGATAAAGTGGTTTAGCAAAAGAGGATTTGATTTAATATCTATAGTCTTATTTATTTTCAATTTTTTCTTGCATAACTTCAGATAAAATTGAAATTTCAAATGTTCTGTAAAGAAAATGAAAACTTGTTGTAATGGCTGATGGAAAAACGAGACCCAAAAGTTAATCAGCTGTAGTACTTAGAAATCTGTAACATATGTTACAGATTTGAAGAAGAATTCTTCAAACTTAAAGAAAATTATTTTGGGCCTTAAATTTTTTGTGAGGGCCAGGCCCCGTGTCCCCCCCCCCTGGATCCACCAGTCCATATACAGAGAGACCAGGTTGATTACATAGGGTCACTGTGTAAGCCAAAACCTTGAAATATTAACAACTCCCAATTGTTCAGCAATCAGTCATATTTGAAAAATAAACCTTTAATCTTTAACCTTTATTCTTTAATCTGAATACTTCTCATAAAATATCATATGCTTAAACAAAACACTTTTATTAAATACTTTGAATTTCACTATGAATGATTTAATAGTCAAGTGAACATAAAAGGTAGAGACAGGTATAAGACAGGTTTTATTGTACAATAGGCTCATGGTTTGTTTCATTATGAATTGGTAATTAGTGCCCCAGGTATAAATGCCATGTTGAGAGGAAAATTAAAATTCTGTGTTGTTTTCTTAGAACATGCTGTTGTTATCATTTAAACATGCTGCACAAACTGTGATTGCAATTATATGCTCAGTAAGTAGCTTAAAAGTCATATTGATTGATCAGATTCCCTTTTCAACTACTAATGCTTGTATTCCAAGATATATTACAGGCTGTGGATCCTACAAAGAGCTATATAGTACAGTATGCACAATATTCATCCATTGATCACTATTTGAAGGTGTATATACAATTTCAGCAACGCAATTATTTCAGTCTGGAATTCAGTTTTATGATTTTTGCAGGTTCTCATTTGTAATACATGTAACATTCTTGGATGAAATATTTAATGGAAATCATAAATTTAACATTGAAAACTCCCTAAAAACAACAGGCCATTTTGTGAAAACAACCGGTGAAAATCGCCTGTTGCCTGCTGCTAATGAAACCCCTGCATTTATTGTATAGATTTTCTGTTACCAAAAGAATTACAAAAGTCTTGTATTAATTTTATTGTTTATTGTAAATGTTGTAGAAAACAGTATTCTCTCTGAAGAAGAAAAGGCAATCCAACAAGCAGATGAACTGTATGTGCAACATCACACAATGCAATTGTACGAGTTACTAATAAAATATAAGGACTGTTCCAATGATGAAATTCTGTGGCGACTCGCCCGCGCTGCAGTTGACAAAGGAAAGGTTATTGGTGGTGAAGAAAAGAAGGCGCTTTATTATGAGGCATTTGATTATGCAAAAAGATCGCTGGAGTTAAACGATAAAAATCCCTCCTGTCATAAGGTACTTATAGTGAATATGTCATACTGTCATAAGGTACTTATAGTGAATATGTCATACTGGCATAAGGTACTTATAGTGAATATGTCATACTGTCATAAGGTACTCAAAGTGAATATGTCATACTGTCATAATGTACTTATAGTGAATATGTCATACTGTCATAAGGTACTTATAGTGAATATGTCATACTGTCATAAGGTACTTATAGTGAATATGTCATACTGTCATAAGGTACTTATAGTGAATATGTCATACTGTCATAAGGTACTTATAGTGAATATGTCATATTGTCATGAGGTACTTATAGTGAATATGTCATACTGTCATAAGGTAATTATCGTGAATATGTCATATTGTCATAAGGTACTTATAGTGAATATGTCATACTGTCATAATGTACTTATAGTGAATATGTCATACTGTCATAAGGTACTTATAGTGAATATGTCATACTGTCATAAGGTACTTATAGTGAATATGTCATACTGTCATAAGGTACTTATAGTGAATATGTCATACTGTCATAAGGTACTTATAGTGAATATGTCATACTGTCATAAGGTACTTATAGTGAATATGTCATACTGTCATAAGGTACTTATAGTGAATATGTCATACTGTCATAAGGTACTTATAGTGAATATGTCATACTGTCATAAGGTACTTATAGTGAATATGTCATACTGTCATAAGGTACTTATAGTGAATATGTCATAAGGTACTTACAGTGAATATGTCATACTGTCATAATGTACTTACAGTGAATATGTCATATTGTCATAAGGTACTTATAGTGAATATGCCATACTGTCTTTAAGGTACTTATAGTGAATATGTCATACTGTCATAATGTACTTATAGTGAATATGTCATACTGTCATAAGGTACTTATAGTGAATATGTCATACTGTCATAAGGTACTTATAGTGAATATGTCATACTGTCATAAGGTACTTATAGTGAATATGTCATACTGTCATAAGGTACTTATAGTGAATATGTCATACTGTCATAAGGTACTTATAGTGAATATGTCATACTGTCATAAGGTACTTATAGTGAATATGTCATACTGTCATAAGGTACTTATAGTGAATATGTCATACTGTCATAAGGTACTTATCGTGAATATGTCATAAGGTACTTACAGTGAATATGTCATACTGTTATAAGGTACTTATAGTGAATATGTCATACTGTCATAAGGTACTTATAGTGAATATGTCATACTGTCATAGGTACTTATAATGTCATATGTTACTTGTATAGAACATTTTCATAAAGTACTTATATTAAACATGTCATAAGGTACTGAATGATGGTTATTTATACATTATGGATACATCTAACTTGTCTTAGGTTCTTTAATATTGATTTTAAACCTAGTTTCAACATCTATACACACAAACAACATTATCTATATTTCAGTTTATTCATGTATATTTCAGTTTATTATCTATATTTCAGTTTATTCATGTATATTTCAGTCTATTATCTATATTTCAGTTTATGTGACTTTATGTCACATTTATGTATATTTCAGTGGTTTGCAGTTCTGCTTGATTACACTGGAGAATATGAGGGTACAAAACAGAGAATCTCAAATGCATTCCAAGTCAAAGAACATTTCATGGTAGGTAAATAACTTAATATAGCATCCGTACCAAAGGGTCTTAAAAGACCAGGTATGGTATGGCAAATGATTTTAGACAGTCAGTCTATTTTACCATGATAACTTCCTCACCATACGACATATATCATCAAAGTGATATGTTTTCCTTCATTAAAAATCCCTTGGATAATAAATTTTTCTGTCTGATGCTGAAAAAATAGGGATTAGGACCTCATTTCAACACATTTTTCAAAATGTTAGACTTATTTCCCTTCTGTTCATTATTGATACATTCAAGTGCTAATACTGCTATTTGTGCCATCGCTTTATTTAGCAGATTTGGTGATTTGAAAAATTCATTAAATTACAGAACATATTCACCGAAATTTATTATCTTTGGGCTTGGCATCAGCCAATGTTATTGAATTCAATTTGTTTGTTGCAGAAAGCCATTGAACTAAACCCTAAAGATGCTACATCTGTACATTCCATAGGATATTGGTAAGTTATGACGCTCTAGAATATGTGTCTATACCCAAGGGCATGGCATTAAAATAAGAGGATTATTAGACTACTTGAGAGGAAGCATCTCCCGCTATGCTATTATAACTCATTAAGGTAGTTCCGCACTTGTAGAAAAAATTCAGAATTAATAATTTGTGGAAATGTCATTTCAGATAATTTTAACAAAATATTTATGTTTTGAACTATGAATTCTATTATCATGTGTTAATGTCCACATAAAATTTCAAAAATATTTCCCATGGAAATTGCAATCATGAAAATTAAATGAAAATTCTCAACACATAGAACTACCTTAAGGGTGACATCAGAATTAGATGTCAGTCTTATATTACTTTATACAATGAGCTTAATTATACAGGGTGGTCCAAAAAAAATTGGAACATTTGATAATTGAACAAAAAAACTTTATTTTTCTTCTAAAATGCACCAAACTTTAACTGAGCATAGTTCAGTCACTTATTTATCTCATGTAAAGTTTATGGGTGCAAACAACAAAGTTAATGCATTAAACTAGACAATGTTTGATATGACCCCTCAATTCCTGAATTACATGTTGAAGCCTGGGACTCAGTTTTGAAATGATTCATTCACCTTGCTGTTCATTTGATTTTGTCCAAGCCATTTTGATTAAAAAATTCAGTTGAACAAACTACTTATATGTTTGCCTTGGAAGATCAAATATGTGAACACATTCAACTTTTTTTACCCAAATTGATGGGTATCAAGCATATTTTGATGGCTATTGTTAGGTGTCTAACTTATTGAATATCCTCAAGAAAGAGGCCAGGGCAGTCTGTTTTGACTGGTAAATGAGCCCCCTCCCCCTTTCTTGTTCTAATATGGATAATATTCATTGAATATATCAATATATGTATATCAATATCATAAAGGAGTTTCCCAGAACACAAATGATATATTATATATGCTTAGAGGTGATCTTGAATAAAGCCGTGGAAATAACTGGTCAGTTTCCCCTTTACTGAAAAGTGAAAACAATGATTTTGTCACTTTAGTAGCTGTATGGGTGATGCAATCACTCACCTCTTACATGTTCTTTCTTTCCTACTCTTAAATAAAAATAATGATTTGGGATATTCTTAAGTTAACAATAACACAATAGTTTTCTAGTGAACCATAGATGTTAATACCTCTCTCTTGTCAACTAAATATGATTTTATAAAATGTGTATAGCAATCAACATGTTCATTAAAGCGTTGAAATAAAGAAAACTTGAAAAAGTAGCGGTAAAATTGACAAGTGTATATTTGAGGAAAGGGGGTCATATCAAACATTGTCTAGTTTAATGCATTAACTTTGTGGCTTGCACCTATAAACTTAACATCAGACAGATAAGTGACTGAACTATGCTCAGTAAAATTTTGGTGCATTTCAGACGAAAAATAAAGGTTTTGTGTTCAATTAACAAATGTTCCAATTTTTTTTGGACCACCCTGTACATGTACATTGTCGTCTTGCATATTAACCTCATACACTAAATAACAGTGTTGAAGTCCAAAAAGCTGTCTTGCTATGTACACATACTGCATTATTGTTTAGAAATATTGCAGTTCTCCACACTGTGTTTAATAACATATAAGCATTGTTAGACTAATGCTAATGAGTAAATAAATCCAGAATTAAATAGATCTCTTTCATCATGATAATGATTATTAAATGTGCTTTATGTATTGTTTATAGGTGTTTCCTGTTTGCTGACCTAGCGTGGTATCAGCGGAAAATTGCATCTGTTATTTTCACGTCACCTCCTACCTCCACATATGAAGAGGTAACTTAATTGGTATTAACTGTCACCATCTTAAGATTGTGCATTTTATTTAAAATGTAGACAGTGCAAATGAAATGACCACATTCAATGAAATGATCACAGTCAATGAAATGATCAAATTCAATGAAATGATCACATTCAATGAAATGATCACATTCAATGAAATGGTCACATTCAATGCAATGATCTCTTTCAATTAAATGATCACATTCAATGAAATGATCACATTCAATGAAATGATCACATTCAATGAAATGATCACATTCAACGAAATGGTCACATTCAATGAAATGATCAGTGAAATAATCACAATGAAATGATCACATTCATTGAAATGATCACATTCAATGAAATGATCACATTCATTGAAATGATCACATTCAATGAAATTATCACATTCAATGAAATGACCACATTCAATGAAATGATCACATTCAATGAAATGACCACATTCAATGAAATGACCACATTCAATGGAATGACCACATTTAATGAAATGATCACATTCAATGAAATGATCAGTGAAATAATCACAATGAAATGATCACATTCAATGAAATGACCACATTCAACGAAATGGTCACATTCAATGAAATGATCAGTGAAATAATCACAACGAAATGATCACATTCATTGAAATGATCACATTCAATGAAATGACCACATTCAATGAAATGACCACATTCAACGAAATGGTCACATTCAATGAAATGATCAGTGAAATAATCACAATGAAATGATCACATTCATTGAAATGATCACATTCATTGAAATGACCACATTCAATAAAATGATCACAGTGAAATAATCTCAATGAAATGATCACATTCAATTAAATGATCACATTTAATGAAACAATCACATTTAATGAAACAATCACAATGAAATAATCACATTTATTGAAATAATCGCATATATTCCAACTTGCAAATTACATTAAATTAGCTTGTATTATAATAAAGTTTATTCTATTTTTAGGCTTTAGAATATTTACTCAAAGCTGAAACAAGTAAGTTCATATATTTAACAATCATCTTGTCTGAAACAGGGGTTACCTGAAATTAACAACATGCAATTTTCTTAAGTTATTTTAATCAAAATTATAATGAGAATTGTAATTTTTGCCTGTTGTCCTTCATTTTGCCCGACTCTTGATATTCTAATAATGAAAATCCTTGCATGTATGAAATGTTTGTTGAACATTTTTGCACCAATTAGTCATCATTTAAATCTATTTTGCGTATAAATCCGAGCACCAGTGGGCCAACAAAAGAGTTCACATTTCGAGTCAACAGAAGATAACGGGCCTAGAAAAAGTGTTCACAATGACAGGAGTATAGATTAAAGGTGTTCGGATATATACAACCTTCACTGTACTGGAAAAAAGTTAAATTAATCATTAATTTCCAGTTGAACCAAACTTCTACAGTATGAACCTGATGATGATTGGCAAGACGTATCAGCGTATGAAAAACAACCAAAAAGCAAAAGAATATTTAATCCGTGCTAGAGATTATCCAGTCAGAACATCTGATGATAAAAAGGTACATAAAATATCAACTACTATAAAACAATGACTGAATTCACAGGAGCAATTTTCAAATATTTGTACATTTGTTCCCTTCATTCAAGATCCCTTGTTAAAGATATACAGTTTTCATGGTGTGAATTTGTGATTTAATACTCTCACAAATATACATGAATTAAAGATGTCCTTGCATTTAATGTGTTTTACAGTTATATCCAGATAATATTTTAAATTTCCGAGCTAAAAATTGGTTTCCATCCTCAATAATCAGACTTACAAAGGCTGGCCCAAAAATTGCAAACTTAATTTTGAAATCATCTTTTCAATTTTTAACTGTCTTTGGCAAGTAGGCAATTAGTATTATGCATGTAACATTGATGTATATACATGTATGTAAGTGTAGTCAAGTAATGTAATATTTGCTTCATGCATAAGTTTGGGTTTCACATCTCTATTTTTGAATTTTTCATGATTTTAGAAAACTGTATTGTAAGCTTAATCTCTGTTTAATTTTTAATGTCTCAGCCATTCACACATATTGATAAATTAAACATGAATGATTGATTTCACTTTGTTTTCCAGGCACATGAAGAGTCTATTGAGCTACTGAAGACTTTAGGAGTAGAATCCTAGCTCAATGTTGTAAATGTATCCCATAATGCATTTAGGATCAGCAGACGTGTCCCATAATTCTTTTGAAATTGGCAGACGTGTCTCATATTGTCTCTGAAATAAACAGGCAGAATCATCCCACAGTGCACCTGGACAGTTCAATACATATACATCCCTAAGTGCAGAATATGATAGGGTGTCTTTAAATATGAATCAACTATTATTTACCATAATGCATCTGGATTGAGCAGAGGTGTACTCAGTTCAACCGATGAGTGCTATGAAGAGGAGGAGATTACCCATAGTTCATAGTTGAACTCATAATTACCTCTCTTGCTAACCACAAAATATTATCTATTATCTGGATACCACAGCCACAGATCAATGTGATGTTTTGATAGTTATAAACATATTCCTCACATGTCTCTTTATCTTGATGTGAAATATTATATTCCCCCTCTTTGTGCAATGCAAGCAAATCTACATTGCTTCTTGATTGTGCAAATGACATCAACATAATAAGTCTATTTCTTGAATTGAGCAATTGCAATTGCATCGCAATCGATGCAATAGGACAAAGCCTAAAATTATGATTAGCTGCCTGTATTTGAAGTTGTCTGAATATGTCAGACAACGAACCAATGTATGCATGTTAATGGTAGAACCTGATTATCCCACCGAACGAAGTTCGAGGGGGATATAGAGAAGCCGTCCGTCCGTCCGTTTGTCCGTCCGTCCTTGTGTCCGGGCAATAACTCCAATACCGGTTGACGGATTTGGTTCAAATTTTATAGGCTTAAGCCTTATGAGTGTAGTACCTCTGCTCGAGAAGGAATTTCCAAAATGGCCGCTCAATTCAAAATGGCCGCCATTTTTCGTAAAAAATGTAATCTTTGATAACTCAAATACAAGTTGACGGATTTGGTTCAAATTTTATATGCTGATGCCTAGGGACAAAGGAGTTTCGCACAAAAAGAGATTTTCAAGATGGCCGCTTAATTTCAAAATGGCGGCCATTTTTCGTAAAAATATGTAATCTTTGATAACTCGAATACCAGTGAACGGATTTGGTTCAAATTTTATATGTTGATGCTTAGGGACACATTCGCTATGTTCGACAAAAAATTTTCAAGATGGCCGCTTAATTTCAAAATGGCGGCAATTTTTCGTAAAAAACATAATCTTTGATAACTCAAATACCAGTGAACAGATTTGGTTGAAATTTTATATGATTATGCCTAGGGACACAGTAGCTCTGTTCAAGAAATAATCTTCAAGATGGCGGCTGAATTTCAAGATGGCGGCCAATTTTTGTAAAAAAATGTAATCTTTGAAAACTCATATACCAGTTAAGGGATTTGGTTCAAATTTTATAGGCTTGTGCCTTATGAGTGTAGGACCTCTGCTCGAGAGGGAATTTTCAATATGGCCGCTCAATTCAAAATGGCCGCCATTTTTCGTAAAAAATGTAATCATTGATAACTCAAATACAAGTTGACGGATTTGGTTCAAATTTTATATGCTGATGCCTAGGGACAAAGGAGTTTCGCACAAAAAGAGATTTTCAAGATGGCCGCTTAATTTCAAAATGGCAGCCATTTTTCGTGAAAATATGTAATCTTTGATAACTCAAATACCAGCGAACGGATTTAATTCAAATCTTATATGATGATGCTTAGCGACACAGTAGCTATGTTCGACAAAACATTTTCAAGATGGCCGCTTAACTTCAAAATGGCGGCAATTTTTCGTAAAAAACGAAATCTTTGATAACTCAAATACCAGTGAACAGATTTGGTTGAAATTTTATGTGATTATGCCTAGGGACACAGTAGCTCTGTTCAAGAAATAATTTTCAAGATGGCGGCTGAATTTCAAGATGGCGGCCAATTTTCGTAAAAAACATAATCTTTGATAACTCATATACCAGTGAACGGATTTGGTTCAAATTTTATATGATGATGCCTAGTTCACAATGGTATAAACTAACTCTGTGCCAAATTTCATGCTTCTATCACAAAGTGCACAAACATTTCAACATTTACACTAGCTATAATAAGCATAATATGTTTTGTTCGGTGGGATTTGCTACTCCGTGGAGTTGCTGTTTTTCTAGTTTATATTGTGTAGCCTATGATAAATGTTATTGATTGTATTTTATTATATGTTGTATCATAATAGCATTTTTTGCATTATAAAATTCTCAAGTTATTTTATTTTTACCAAATTTTGGCAAGATTTAAGAAATAAGTGGAGGAGATTAGTTTAGAAATCAACTGTTTTTTGATCTGGCAATTTTACCCATCAGGCCAGAATAGGGATGAATACTAAAATGAGGCTTCTGGCCCACTGCTTTATATCTGTGTCATACTACATTGTTTCAAGTATCATATCAAACAATACATGTATAGATTAATTTTACTAAATAGATGTTGCAATTATGTCTGATTATTTATTTTTTAAATGTATTTAGATTTTTATTTCTCAGTATTATATTATGATGTATAAAGAGAGATTAGTTTGCCATGAGAATTATAGAGCTGAAAAACCACACTGGAATAGCCTGACAATGGTAAAGTCAGATGCCGTTGTCACAAATGGCGGACATAACCATCGCTTCAAATGTTTAATCACTTGGTCCTCATTTCATGGTATTTTATCGTCGCTAATTATGTGCATGTATTAAGCTCTTGTGGTGATGTTTCATATAATTGGGTCGTGAATCGCCACAATATAGCGTCTTAGATATCGTCAATGACAATGGAATCTGAATTTGAGTAATTTGGAAAGACAACGGCATATGGTAATTACAGTGTCCATTGTCCCATCTCATTTTGATTGGTTATATTAAATACTTTATTTCGATGGTAGAACATTATTGACTGTACAATGAGTATAAAGACACTTTGATTGATTGTTGTTCCAAAGGAATTTATTCTAGGTGCTCTAATGAACATACAGTTCATGAAAATCTAATTGAAGCTACGGTTATGTCCGCCATTTGTGACAACGGTATCTGACTTTACCGTTGTCAGGCTATTCTGGTGTGATAACTACATGTCCAACGTTACATGTATCATCCACAATGTGAGTTTGAAAATATGAAGTTGAAGTAACAATTTTCAACCAGTAGTTTTGTCATTCCAAAGATCAGGATATCCCAAATTATTAATATAAATTGTAATAAAACACAAAGTACACACATTACAATACAATAGGCTATGATACAATGTAAAAATTGTACGCCAAACATAGTACAATATGATATGAGTTACCTTATTTTGACATAATAGCTCTACACATTGTTATTCAGAACTCAAATTGTCATATTTGATAGCTTAGGTTGTTGTTAAGTACGACAGGCCTATATCAAAGCCAGTCATTATATTGAAATATATTTATTAATTTCAAATATTTGTCCAATGTAATACATACACACTCTTACTTCAATAAATTCATTTGTCAATACTTCTGTATTTTTGTTTGTGAGATTTGGTTTCTATTTTAAAGGTTCATATTTAAAGATGTCTCATTATAAGTGTCTTTTGAAAATAAATGTGGATGTAGAACTGGATATCTTTGTTAGGTTAAGCTACACATTTTTTATCACACCCTCTAGTGCTGTATTGTGATCAGTTTGCCCCCCCCCTTCTATAGACTTTGCTCCTTATCTTTTTTCTATTCATGCTTGAAAATTTTGCTCACATCATGAGTAAAAAATTAATTACTTTATAGAAAAATTATAAAAGGTGCATGCACTCCTTATAACCTGCACATGACATGGTAAGCAGTTTTTGCAAGTCTTCTATATTTTCTGGAAAGGGAGTCTATTGATGGTTCTAAGTGCAGGCTGTTGTAAGATAATTCTTTTTTTGTAAAATACACAGACTTCACAACTACTTTTACCCCAGGAAAACAATGAACAACAATATGATGTCATTAAAAATTATGTAACAATCTTTTTTTTAGAAAACTGATCATTTACATATAGTTTTACAGTACAAAACACTAACAAATTATCACATTGCTACATACATGTAACTATAACCAACAAATCTACAAATTCTTTATTACACTTCATAATTAAAGAGGAAAATCATTGATGATATGAAATTCGAAGATGTTTTAATACAGTAATTTTTACACACAAACCAATGTAACTGATGTAAACAACAACTCATTGGAAGAATTAAGTTAACTGCCATCTATACGAGTCCCGTTTCCCATTGGATTCATTGTATTGATTAGTTTTCGAGGTAATTGACATAAAAATATACAATTGCATTGTAACGGCAATAATACTTTTGCAATGTCATTCTATGTGATTATCAAATAATGATAATGTCCTTTGATGCAATGCTCATGTTAACATTTCCCATAATACATCACAGTTGGCAGACGTCAAGTCAGAATTCTATTTCAGTCTTGAGAAATATCCAATATGGTTTCAATAGATTCTCATCACTAAAATATCCCATGATGCACCACACCTGGTTCCCATAATGCATTGCAGTTAGCAGACGTCAATATCTCTACTTCTGTCTGGAGAAGAAGCCCATGATTGCATTGATACATTCCTCTGATTGCCACCGTTCCACTAATTGTGCACACTCCCTGTCATTAGCACTATGAAGAGCATCTTTATCAACACTTCTGATGAGAACTTTGGAGAGCCTCAGGGTCTGAAAATATCAAACAAAATTTTTAAGATAAAGTTTTCATTTATTTGCATAACCACTGTATAACAATATCCTATATTGTTCTTGGTAAGTATCATGTATAGTTCATGAAAATATATGTCGCTTAGCTCGCCTCTAAAAAGGACACGGAATTACCTTTGCTCCCATACTATACAGTATTATGATTTGGGATAGTTGGGGTTTGTTTTCTTTATGACTGGTAAAAACTTGAATGTTTTTTTCTTGCTGGGTTCTGTAACAATTTTTGGTCCTTTCCCTATGGTACTCTTGCGTATATATTTATAACATACTTTAAGGAAGACTAGGTAAAAATTACATTATTGACCTCCCTTAAATTAATAAACATAATGGATGCATGATCAACATGTAAATACAATGGTTTGGCCAATTACAATGACAATGGCTGGATTTGTTTTTTTTTCGAAATGGCTACCTTATTGGGCAAATATTAAAAAAGATGATGTTTCTTCATGCTTACGGACGAACTGAAGGATGAATGGACAGATGGACATTTATTTTTATTTTTGGTGGGATAACAAAACACAGATGTATTTAAATAATTCATAATATTTGAAGACCAACATATAATAATGCCAATTTGGCAAATGACCTGATTGCAAATCAACTTGAATATTGTTCTTTTAAGGTCAAGGTGCATGATGGGAAATTTTCTGCATCCCTCAATAACGCAGATGCAAGTAGGTAGTTACCAGTTTCACCACCAGGTGGCTCGTTCGGGTCAGATAGCATGGCGGGTATAGTAGAAAGTTCCCTTTAACTTAAATTACACCTGTTTTAGTGGTTAAATTTTCATATCACCCTTATGTATCTAATAATTATGCAAATTAAAATATGTCCAGTAAAAGAAAATGTTTTCTGTCCCATACAAAAAAAGATATTTCACTTTTTGTGATTTTGTAACATTGGGTCTATGGGGAATCAACCCGAACAAGAAGTCGCATTTTCAAAAGAAATTAAATTTTCAAAGTTGATAAACAATTTTCGAAGTCATATTTCTAGATGTACTTTTACATGTAGATTTCAAATATGACATCACTTTGACTGGATTTTGAATATTTAATGACGTAAATCAAGATTATTTCTACTCGCATCTAGTCTATTGAGTCACATGTTATTTTTCAAACAAGAATCACTCCTTCCCCATATTGTCTACATCTTCCAGTTTTGCACAAAGAGTGCACTTATATTTTGATAAAGTGAATATAAAGTGAAGAAAATTCAGTGAAAAAATTCAGAAAATTTTCAGAAAACTTTTTCACTGAATTTTCTCATTTTGTATACATTTTACAAAACAAATCTTCTCACAAGTCTTCTCTAGGCACATTAGTGCACTCTGTGCAAACCTGGAAGATATAGACAATGTGGGGAAGGAGTGATTCTTGTTTGAAAAATAACATGTGACTCAATTGAGGGATGCAGAAAATTTCCCATCATGCACCCTGACCTTAAAATATAAAACAAGTATAATATACCTGTTTGAGTATTTTATGTACTGCAATGTTAACAATGAAGGTTGAGTGGCATTCATGACCCTTTAAGAATTTATTTGTCATTTATTACATAAATGCAATCAAACTAGATACGAGATATGGAAAAGATCATCTCCATTAATCACATACATGTAAATCTGTAAAAACAATTTGGACAAACTATTTTCCCATGAAATTGACGTCAGAATTCTTCAACATCGGATTTCAAAAATGTCATTAATTATGGCAATGTTTTAAAAACTGCAAAATGTTAAGATTTTTCATGAATATATTATGTAACGATTATTTATTTTTTGTTGTCCCCAAACATGTACTGCATATAATTATGTTGTTTTTACATCGCAATGAAAATAAATCTGTACATTTGATAATATTGAATGATTATTATAGGTATTAGCATAGGTAGTTTTATTCTAATATTTGGAGTTTCTTGGAAGGTGTTGTTTTCAGGTTTTAATTTTGTAGGGTTATGTAATGTTGTGTAATGTTATGTAATATTATGTAATGGTATATTTTTTATGATGCAATACATTTCTACGACTCCAAACACTCTGGTTTATTTGTTTATACCATTTAACTAATATTTCATTATAATGAAAGCTTAGAAAAGACAAAACAAACCCTTGAACTTTGATACCTGACATTTATTTTAACCTGAAGGAACTTAAGTCATCCTTTGACATTTTGTGAATTGGATAAACATTAAAAAGATAATACAATAAATGCAATTTTATGGACTAAAAAAAGGTGCTTTATAAACATACATTAAAATTGAAACTCTTGTCTTTTTCAAAATTTAATTTTCATTATCTAAATTAAATGAAGTGACTAATGGCAGTAGCCATCATCAGTGTCTTGGTGCATTATCGTGTTTCATTATATTGCTCTTCGAGCTTCATCTCTCCTTGACCAAAGATTGATGGGAAAAATATTACGGATAAATATTATGAGCAAATAATATGGGCAGTTGTATATCCTGAGAGTGTCTTGACCTCTATCATTGAGTTCATGTTATGAAACAAGGCATTAACATGCAAAATGTCACCACCTGCCATTTGTTACAGATGCCTACCACCGAAAATCTACAACTGAACACCGACCACTGAGTGACAAACACCAATAGCTGAATGCCATCCACAAAAAGTTGGAGACTATAACAATATGGTGACATAAAATTAAATAAATCGGATATTTGAAAACAATTTTATTTTAAACAGACCCCTCACCAAGAGCATCGAGTGACAATTACAAAAATATCTATATATTGACAAGGAATTAACATGCAAAATGTCACAACCTGCCATTTGTTACAGACACTTACCACCGAACACCAACCATAGAACAACAACCACCAAATACCAAACACAAACCACAAAACACCATCCACTCCACAAAAAGTTGGAGACGGTAATATGTCACCACTTATTTTGGAATGCCAAACTCCAAACACCAACTGCCAAACACCAACTTCTACCACAAAAACTTTTGGTGGTGACATAGCAAAGAATTCAGTTATGCATATACCAACAGACGCATGTGTTTTGAAATTAATTTGCTTTAAACACTCAAGATTTAATACCATTTCCGAAAATAAAAATTCAAGCCAATCAAAATTATATTGAATCATGAATTATTACAACATACCGCTGGAAAATACAAAAGCATCGCAAAATCAAGCATCCAAGATGGCCTCCAAATCATAAAAGTCATTCTTATTGAGAAAGTTATTGGCATTAAGAGCAATTAAAGTATTACGATATTGCCTCAACAAAAACTGAGCTTATATAAGAAGCAGTCCTTAAGGCTGTTTTCATCGCATCTTTTGGGATCACAAGCAAGGTAAGCAGTTCGTAATTAAATATCTAAAGCGACTGAATATTTCATTCGAAGTTGAGCTTAGTCATTTTCATTTTTAGGGGAACTTTGTAACAGGAATATTCATATTTTTACAAATCTATTTTTCTATTTATAAAATAGTGCATTTCTACTACAATGCCTAGCAGAAGCATATTTAACTAATCAATTATAAGAGGCTTTTCAAGAAATAATTATCCTTTTAGACAATTATAATGTGTATTGCACTAGAAATCATGGACTGAAACATAAGAAAAGACAAGTCATTAAAGGCAGAATCAGATCTATGGGGGTGAAAAAATTACAAGCAATGTGTATAATTGACCTACCAATCTATTCCTTACAATATCAAATACAATATCTCCCAAAAGATTCACAATATGTTATAAGTTGGTGAAGTTATTAATGATTCAAAGTGCAAAAATGAGTGAAAAATGTTTAAATTCTCCCAAATAATAAGAATGGTAACCATTCTTATAGGAAAATAATACGTTGGTGACATAATAAAAACACTGCTTTAAAATAATAAATAATATAGAACTATTGTTATGTTTCAGATGTTCAAATTTGTGGCCCTCTTCTGCCTGTGCAGTGTTGCATATTGTGGGGATCCATACCCCATGATGATGAGTAAGATATATTATTGCTTATACATGTCCATATACTACACTCTACTATATTGTTATGTTTCAGATGTTCAAATTCGTGGCCCTCTTCTGCCTATGCAGTGTTGCATATTGTGGGGATCCATACCCCATGATGATGAGTAAGATATATTATTGCCTTGCATTCATATACTACACTCTACTATACCTAACTCCTAGAAATGCATAAGATACTCTGTTTGTCTAATTGAATTGTTTAATATATTTTTGAAATTACCTGATTAGCATCTAAGAGTCATCCAATAAACCATTAATAAGGAACAGTCAAATAAAAACAAATAACACAATCATTACTATTAAGCCAAATGGGTTGCTCATGAACACCAAATGTGTATCGTAGAGTGTACTAGTAAACTGATGTTTAACATGAATATTACCCTTTGCATTCGTTTGACTTCACCTCTTAAAAGAGAGCTTCGTCTTCAGTAGTTTAACTAGACTCTGCACGCAGGGTACATGCATATCTATTAAATGCTCAAATTGGCCTGTGATGATGAGTGAGACATAATTGTCTCTGAATTTCTTTGTAAACTAGTGTTATCCATGTATAAAATGATCACATAGACCTACAGTACAACCTCAAATTGCACTCTGAAATCGTGGTACAGCATATTAAGCATACATACAGCACATTAAGAGTATGTACTCTAATTATTAAGACCATAACTGGCACTAATGCTTTTAAACAGTGGAGACGATAACCCCATTTAACGTGAAGTACGGCAATTGCCATGTTGCACGACAATTGACGTGAAATTATGACGCATAAGTGCGCATGTCAATAGATAATAACGGCAATTGCCGTCATGTCCGTCAAGTGACGTGCAATATTTTGCACGGCAATTGACGTGCAAACTATTATCTTGTAAAAGTTTCACATATTATCGGCAGGACAACAGGCAGTTATAAACTGGGAAACTAGTGGGTAAATCATGATCTGCATCGTATGTAATAGTTATAATCATAAACATTTGCTATTGTCCGGGTTGCATTTTGAACTAACAACTATTATCATGTGCTTACGTCAATGTTTACTCGAAATATTTATTCAACAGCAAACCGGAAGTAAACAAATGATCGAAAGAAAACTAATACATTCTGATATTATAAGGATAGGAATTTAAATTGTTCAAAATTCATTTAAGGTAATCATTAGATCATTGTAAAGAAGGTTTAAAACTAAATCCAGCCAGAAAAAAACGAAAAAATCGGCAACACACCGAGGTCAGGAAAACACTTCCGGTCAAAAAGAAGAGGGAAAGTAGACCCCATTTTAGTGATTTCCAGTGGTCTTTTCTCGGAATTGGGGCTCACGTTGTGTTAAGAGATTAAAATAACATTGGGTCAGTACCAATTTTGTCATAAAACCCGTCGGAAAGACGATATCTAGACAATTGAAGGAGTATTAGTAATTCCAATATGGCGTTTTTCTAGGATTCGTGAGAGGTAACTTTGATTAGTTCTAGCGCAAAATTCCCACATAGGATCGCGAATTCCTGCATACAAGTGCTAGATTAGATTAATTACTTGAAGAAAATGCAATAAAAAGCGTTCCATCGATCGATTTAGACTTTCCAAGAATGCAAGTTCGGTGGTGACTTCATTGGTTCGTAACATTGACAGAAAATTCACAAGATTGAACGGCATTTTTCTCCACAATTTTGGAATGAAATACTTCCCTGGGATTTAATATATCATTAATGTTTACCAAAGTATATGTACTATAAAATATATATTACTTAGATTGTATATATATTAAACACTAGGTCTTCTAATTAACCTGGTGTTTAAATTATGAATTACAATGGACATTATGCTTATTGGCGTGATTCACGTCAATTGACGTGCAAAATGGCAATCTCCGTGTTACACGTTAAATGGGGTTATCGTCTCCACTGTTAAAAGAAATTTGCAAATATAATATAAATACAAACAAGTAGAATAAAATGGAAATATTTGAAAAAATCATCCACAGAGAATTGAGAAATATCTTCATTTGTCCAACATGACATTCTTTATTTATTTCTTAACACTGAACAATTTTTCATTTAATGTTCTTTTTTGTTCCATTTTCAGCTCATGATGTTTCAGATGAGGGTAAGTTGAATCATGTGGCTTGCTCTAATGACTGGTTATTTAAACGGATTGATGGGCTTTATACAGAGATAATTGATATTTCTCTATTAGATTTTGAATATATTAAATATTATTATATAGATTGTTTGTTTTATTGGTGGATATGGTTTATCAAAATCTGATATATTTTTTGTCATGGTTATGTTTATATTTATAAGGTAAATAACACTTTGGATAAAAATATAATTCTGGATGTGTGATAGATTATATGCTTCTAGAAAAATAGACGGCAGATGAATATATGGCCTCTTCAAAATATATAAAGGTATTTAAGTTCATCCACTACCTTTTTGTAGAATGGTGTAAGACTGGTTTCTATCAAGAGCCAGCTGACCCCTGTTGTTTCTACCAACAATGTGAAGCAGACAAACAGAAAGCCTACAACAGAAGTTGTTTCTGTGACGATGAGGAACTCTTTTGGAACACTGAGCTATGCGCTTGCGCCACCTATTGGACACCTGGGTCATGCAATCCTGATTTGAACTACTTATGTGGTAATATTACTTATTGATCACCCCTCGTATATATATAGTCCATGGTATGAAATCTCTAGGACGTCTAATAAAGGAGCTGGTAGCACTACCTGATTTGAACTACTTATGTGGTAATATATATGCCTCGCTTTTTTCAATCCTAGCACCCCATCCATTTTCCATACACATTCATGTATTTTTTTCAAAATATCACTAGCTTAACATCCCTGACTTTTCCCTTACCTTCCTTAAAATTCTTAAATTTCCGGACCATTTGAGCACTTTTTCCAGGTCAGTTAAAACAATTACGTGTTTTTCTGGTTTTCCTGATTGTACTCTGAACGTGGTACAAGTAACCTTGTTAAAATTCTGTGGATGTCTCTTATACATTTCAGATAATGAATTTGATGTCCCTATGGTCCCATGTGTTGCTAATTCAGTGGTACAAGTAACCTTGTTAAAATTCTGTGGATGTCTCTTATACATTTCAGATAATGAATTTGATGTCCCTATGGTCCCATGTGTTGCTAATCCAGTGGTACATGTAACCTTGTAAAAACTCTGTGGATGTCTCTTATACATTTCAGATAATGAATTTGATGTCCCTATGGTCCCATGTGTTGCTAATCCAGTGGTACATGTAACCTTGTAAAAACTCTGTGGATGTCTCTTATACATTTCAGATAATGAATTTGATGTCCCTATGGTCCCATGTGTTGCTAATCCAGTGGTACAAGTAACCTTGTTAAAACTCTGTGGATGTCTCTTATACATTTCAGATAATGAATTTGATGTCCCTATGGTCCCATGTGTTGCTAATCCAGTGGTACATGTAACCTTGTAAAAACTCTGTGGATGTCTCTTATACATTTCAGATAATGAATTTGATGTCCCTATGGTCCCATGTGTTGCTAATCCAGTGGTACATGTAACCTTGTAAAGACTCTGTGGATGTCTCTTATACATTTCAGATAATGAATTTGATGTCCCTATGGTCCCATGTGTTGCTAATCCAGTGGTACATGTAACCTTGTTAAAACTCTGTTGATGTCTCTTATACATTTCAGATAATGAATTTGATGTCCCTATGGTCCCATGTGTTGCTAATCCAGTGGTACATGTAACCTTGTAAAAACTCTGTGGATGTCTCTTATACATTTCAGATAATGAATTTGATGTCCCTATGGTCCCATGTGTTGCTAATCCAGTGGTATATGTAACCTTGTAAAACTCTGTGGATGTCTCTTATACATTTCAGATAATGAATTTGATGTCCCTATGGTCCCATGTGTTGCTAATCCAGTGGTACATGTAACCTTGTAAAAACTCTGTGGATGTCTCTTATACATTTCAGATAATGAATTTGATGTCCCTATGGTCCCATGTGTTGCTAATCCAGTGGTACATGTAACCTTGTAAAAACTCTGTGGATGTCTCTTATACATTTCAGATAATGAATTTGATGTCCCTATGGTCCCATGTGTTGCTAATCCAGTGGTACATGTAACCTTGTAAAAACTCTGTGGATGTCTCTTATACATTTCAGATAATGAATTTGATGTCCCTATGGTCCCATGTGTTGCTAATCCAGTGGTACATGTAACCTTGTAAAAACTCTGTGGATGTCTCTTATACATTTCAGATAATGAATTTGATGTCCCTATGGTCCCATGTGTTGCTAATCCAGTGGTACATGTAACCTTGTAAAAACTCTGTGGATGTCTCTTATACATTTCAGATAATGAATTTGATGTCCCTATGGTCCCATGTGTTGCTAATCCAGTGGTACATGTAACCTTGTAAAAACTCTGTGGATGTCTCTTATACATTTCAGATAATGAATTTGATGTCCCTATGGTCCCATGTGTTGCTAATCCAGTGGTACATGTAACCTTGTAAAAACTCTGTGGATGTCTCTTATACATTTCAGATAATGAATTTGATGTCCCTATGGTCCCATGTGTTGCTAATCCAGTGGTACATGTAACCTTGTAAAAACTCTGTGGATGTCTCTTATACATTTCAGATAATGAATTTGATGTCCCTATGGTCCCATGTGTTGCTAATCCAGTGGTACAAGTAACCTTGTTAAAACTCTGTGGATGTCACTTATACATTTCAGATAATGAATTTGATGTCCCTATGGTCCCATGTGTTGCTAATCCAGTGGTACATGTAACCTTGTAAAAACTCTGTGGATGTCTCTTATACATTTCAGATAATGAATTTGATGTCCCTATGGTCCCATGTGTTGCTAATCCAGTGGTACATGTAACCTTGTAAAAACTCTGTGGATGTCTCTTATACATTTCAGATAATGAATTTGATGTCCCTATGGTCCCATGTGTTGCTAATCCAGTGGTACATGTAACCTTGTTAAAACTCTGTGGATGTCTCTTATACATTTCAGATAATGAATTTGATGTCCCTATGGTCCCATGTGTTGCTAATCCAGTGGTACATGTAACCTTGTAAAAACTCTGTGGATGTCTCTTATACATTTCAGATAATGAATTTGATGTCCCTATGGTCCCATGTGTTGCTAATCCAGTGGTACATGTAACCTTGTAAAAACTCTGTGGATGTCTCTTATACATTTCAGATAATGAATTTGATGTCCCTATGGTCCCATGTGTTGCTAATCCAGTGGTACATGTAACCTTGTTAAAACTCTGTGGATGTCTCTTATACATTTCAGATAATGAATTTGATGTCCCTATGGTCCCATGTGTTGCTAATCCAGTGGTACATGTAACCTTGTAAAAACTCTGTGGATGTCTCTTATACATTTCAGATAATGAATTTGATGTCCCTATGGTCCCATGTGTTGCTAATCCAGTGGTATATGTAACCTTGTAAAACTCTGCGGATGTCTCTTATACATTTCAGATAATGAATTTGATGTCCCTATGGTCCCATGTGTTGCTAATCCAGTGGTACATGTAACCTTGTAAAAACTCTGTGGATGTCTCTTATACATTTCAGATAATGAATTTGATGTCCCTATGGTCCCATGTGTTGCTAATCCAGTGGTACATGTAACCTTGTAAAAACTCTGTGGATGTCTCTTATACATTTCAGATAATGAATTTGATGTCCCTATGGTCCCATGTGTTGCTAATCCAGTGGTACATGTAACCTTGTAAAAACTCTGTGGATGTCTCTTATACATTTCAGATAATGAATTTGATGTCCCTATGGTCCCATGTGTTGCTAATCCAGTGGTACATGTAACCTTGTAAAAACTCTGTGGATGTCTCTTATACATTTCAGATAATGAATTTGATGTCCCTATGGTCCCATGTGTTGCTAGTCCAGTGGTACATGTAACCTTGTAAAAACTCTGTGGATGTCTCTTATACATTTCAGATAATGAATTTGATGTCCCTATGGTCCCATGTGTTGCTAATCCAGTGGTACATGTAACCTTGTAAAAACTCTGTGGATGTCTCTTATACATTTCAGATAATGAATTTGATGTCCCTATGGTCCCATGTGTTGCTAATCCAGACAACAATGAATGCTGTCTCACAGGAATTAAATATGATGACCATACTAAGGGTTATGGACCTCTGTATGTAAAAGATGCATATGATATGACTAACAGAAAATACTACATACCAGATTGGCATGAGTATGGGTACTGCCCAGAGCCTGGCACGTTCAGTCTGAAATACTGCGCATGTGAACATCTAAAGAGTAAGAAATTTTTTTAAAAACAATCCAGTTATAGACTTTTAAGAAATGCAACATTGAAGAAAAAGTTAATATAGACGAGTGCCTTGCTGCATTAAAAAGTTATTTTTATCAATTAGATTCATAAGAACACTCAATCAAGGCTGTACATGTAGGAGACCAATTATAGTATCATTCCCAGTTATAAGTAAATTCATTCAAGCCCAAGAGAGTAGTAACAGTACAGTGCAGTTCAATACAGTACAGTACAATACAGTACAGTACAGTACAGTACAGTACAGTACAGTACAGTACAGTACAGTACAGTTCAGTAAAGTACAATACAGTACAGTACAATACAATACAATACAATACAGAACAGTATAGTACTGGGTTGTTATAGGAAATATCATGGGCTTTCAACTACTCGACTAATTGAAACCCCATGGACAAATATTGGATTAACATATTGTACTCTGGAGTATTTTCATCTTTCTACTCATAAAAACCAAGTACACTAAAGTCACTTAAAATTGTGTTTATACTCATTGATGATGACTTGAACTTTTTAGCTGAATGTGCCTGTGCACATTGGAACTTCTCAGCACCTGACCCATTACTGGATGATGGTACATACATGAGTGAAGGCAACTGTGAAGCTGGTGGAAATGGGCAGCTTGTATGCCCTCAAACCCTATCACCTGAACCTGCTGAAATCCCAGCCACCCAGAAGATTTTCTTTGGCAAAACGGGAACAATATTTGGAATGGTTGATGTCAACTTTGACGGAACAGTTGTGACCAATGAAAGTCCAGAAGCAAAGAATCCTATGAATGCCACCATAAAGATAGAAATAAGAGATTGTGTTCTATATGTCTGGCTGGAATACCGCGGAGTAGATGTCCATTATTCACTTGCTCTGTCTGATGACACTAGAGCTGTAAGTTTTAATCTATTTAGTTGGGTAAATAACACTAGAGATGCCAGTTATCATCTTTTTAATTGGGCAAATAACACTAAAGCTGTAAGTTTAATACATAATTACTTGACATTTTGCCATTGAAGCATCCCTATAAGAAAACTTCCTTCTGATGTTTAATTGAGATAGGCTCTTGAACCCAAAACCATTGACGGCCTCTGCTCTTTGAAGTTAATCAACTGATCATTTTCATGGAATTACGATGGCAAGAATAATCAATTTCATAATCCTGATAATCATAGCCAATATCCAATGAATTATGAATAGTTTAATGTAAAATAAAAGAGGTTTGGCTAAATTGAATACATTCCTCTGAATTCTGTTTTATTTTTTGAACAGAGAATACAAAATGGCGAGGGATATAAAAAGACATTTTATGTAGTTGTTGAAAATGGGAATATAATAATGTGTTTTGGAGCTACATTTGATGATGGAACGTATGGTGAAAAAAGGTTGGAAAGAGAACTCCCAGTGGGTTGTGAGTACTTACAAATTACGTATATATTTTCATAACAAACATGGGCTCCCACTCACAGTGCTCAGAGTTAATCATAAAACAAACACCTAAGTTTAAGAATCTCAAAAATATATAAGACTTGTTTAAAAGAAAGAGTATTATTGCCACCTTACCGGGCCTGTTCTAGGGGTATTAGTGCTAGTTAACCCCCCTATCACACCAAACTAGTTCTTACCCGTTCTTGCCAGTCCTACGAAAACGTCGTCAAACGGGCTCAATCTGGCTGTGGTCGGGAAATATGTCTGAAATAATTAGCTTCTTCGTTCTTAAACAGTCTTCAATACGTCCATCTCGTTCGCAGTTCGTTCAGGTCGCACCACGTCGGAGTGCAATGTCGTAGAACGCGTCTCTTAGTCTAGAAGGTCAACATGACCTGATTACAGAACGGTATGGTCGTCATCGAATTTTGAATCGATTCAAAATTCTAAAATCACATTCCCGTCTGAGAACGTTCATAAAGTTCGTAAATAGACCTTAGAAAGTTGCAGCTACGTTCATTCCGTTCGCACACAGTTTAAAACCAGTTTTGAAGAACGCAGTGGCAACTTGTTTGGTGTGATAGCTATATTTTTGCTAACTCGTTCATAAGCAGTGTTAAATACGTTCTTAATCAGTTTAAACCCGTTTGCAATTAGTTCTACCTTGTTCTCAACACGTCCGCAGACAGTTCAACTCGTTGTTAAAAGGTCCCTAGTAGGACTGAAGTACGACGGTTCCGTTCGTAGTACGTCCAGCTCATCGTTAGTACGTTGTCGCTCGTTCTAATTGTAGAACGTGACGATCACGAGAACATTTTGAGCATTGTCTAGGTTCTAGAGGACCTACCCGTTCGAGTACGTTCGATGAAGTTTGTAAATAGATCCCAAACGGTTCTTAGTAGGTCCAGTCCGTTCGTATACAGTTGAAGCCCGTTTTCGAGAACGCAGTGAGAACTAGTTTGGTGTGATAGTAGGGTTAGAAGGCATTTATTTTATTATATCGACCTGAGCAGTATATGACATCATTGTGAAGGGCCATATTACCAGTCAATAATGGAATTAACGACTGGCAATTTTCCCCAGAAAATTAGATATCGTTTAATGGTAGGATTTTCTTGCTTTTTCAGCCCAGGTTATTAACGGTGGTAATAATACTAGTAACATCATTTATGCGGGCAATATAGTGAAAAATATTTCACTTGGGCCTTCGGCACTCGGTCCAATATTTTACTATATTGCCCACAGAAATTATATTATTGTACTATTATTGACTGATTCATGAACAATCATTAATAATGAGGGGAAACATAGGGTATCATTTTAAAATATATCATTGCATGCACTAAAACTCCAACATACCAAAAATCAAATGCCATATTTTAATGTTTTACAGTCAAACTAGCTGGAAATAAGTGTCCGTTCAAACTTGGATATACAAGACCAGCTTTATACTTTGACGTAAGTTTAAAATTTATATCAATGTGTTAGGCCCTAAATCAATTTGTCCCTCTCAAACTTTGGTTATCCAAAAATCTTTTGGTAATTGTAACCATCAACAACATTTTAGGCTTTTCAATATATTAGTTTTAAAGTCATGTTTTATCTCAAAATGACAAATATATGAAGCCGCTATCACAAGGAATTGTGACAGATAGTAGAATGTTTTTATTGTTTTATTTTACTTTTAGTTATATAAAGTGAAGTGTACATTTATGATTGCTTTGAAACAAATTCTAATCTTGTGTATTGCCCACCAACCTTTACCTTTTTTGGCATATCCTTTACAAGATTACCAATTCCAATCTTTATCAATCTTTGAAATTAGATTACAAATATCTGTAAAAACATGAATAAATTGAATTTAGAGGTTTAGTTCTAGGTATATTCATAGTGAAACTTTTAACATTATTTACCATTTTTAGTTTGGATATTGTGTATTTGGTTGGACATACACTGACTGGTTAGAATATCTGATTGATGGAGTAGTGCCTGAAAATCCCAATCCAGGTGATGGGTCCTGGAAAGTGTTTGCTGACTGGGATGAAGAGAACCACCTTTACCCTGACCCGAATTGAAGTGGAATGAAACAAAACAATTCAGTGAATTAAAATCTGTATCTGAATCATAAAAAGGCAAATAAACAGGGAGTCATTAACAGTAACTTCGTAAAGTTACGAATTCATGAATCAATTGTTGTAACCATGGATATAATGATGTCACATTAGAGAACAATGGACTTTAAGAATTCTTAATTTTTCGAAGTTTCTGTTAATGGCCCCCAGATTAATACTACATCAGCGTGTATCTTTTTATTTTATAAGTTGTTAATGACAAACCTGGATCTGATCCACGCAGTGTAGACTGGGATGTTTTTTATTTTCCCAGTACTGTCAACCCCCAAAGATTTTCTCTCGGGACAGATTTTTTAGACCCAGTGCCCAAAATTCGCGGGATTTTGCGGGACATCTACTAAATTCGCTGGATTTCGCGGGACATTTAAGGGATTTGCGTGATTGCGCTTATAGGCCAATTTTTTTTATCAAATTCGCGGGATTTCGCGGGACCATTCGAGCAGAAACAGAATAGCAGACGGGACAACAGAATAGCAGAGGGGACAAAAGAATAGCAGAGGGGAAAACAGAATAGCAGACGGGACAACAGAATAGCAGAGGGGACAAAAGAATAGCAGAGGGGACAACAGAATAGCAGAGGGGACAACAGAATAGCAGAGGGGACAAAAGAATAGCAGAGGGGACAACAGAATAGCAGAGGGGACAAAAGAATAGCAGAGGGGACAACAGAATAGCAGACGGGGACAACAGAATAGCAGAGGGGACAAAAGAATAGCAGAGGGGACAAAAGAATAGCAGAGGGGACAAAAGAATAGCAGAGGGGACAACAGAATAGCAGAGGGGACAAAAGAATAGCAGAGGAGACAACAGAATAGCAGAGGGGACAACAATACCCAGCAGACCAGAACAAAAGGGTTGACTGTACATGTAGTTTTGACTTTTTTTATTAACATTAAAACATGAACATGTATATCTGAACACCTCTCTTATCTAAACATCCAACTCTTTTTAGATTCCTTTTTGAGTTTGGCATCATAAACTTCCATGTAAAAAAACCTTGAAATGTGAATACCTGCTAATATGAACACTTTTGTGTATAATTCTCATGATTATAACCCCAAAAAATCTGACCTTCACAAGGTTACTAATTAATATGCATGTACAAGTGCAGCCCCGTAGCCAGGATTTGCCAAGAGAGGGTTCACTATTTGAAAAACCCCAAGGGGGTTCACTTGTGACAATTTTGGTCCAAAAATGGCAAAATCACTTAAAAAGTGCTCAGAATGGTGAAAACAGCATGATTTTTAAAGATTTTTTGGCCAGTGGGTGGGGGGGGGTCCACTCGAACCCATCGAACCCCCTAACTACGGGCCTGAGTGCCAAAAAATTATTACAGACAGAAGTATGATTTGGCAGTTTCATAGGCTCACTATATTAACTAGTGGCTCCATGATACACATAAATATGTAGATAGTTATTTGCCTCACAATTGCAATTTACAATTTTATTATTTGTGAAAAATTAATACATGTGCACTTTGAGGCACCACCATTGTTACATGTTGGTTTTCTATTATGGGTTGTATGTTAGTTTCACATTATATAGTGATACTATAACACTATTTTCATGGGTTGTATTTGCCTGGTTAAGTATGAAGGTCCCTGTTTTAACCAAATGAGACCACAGGAACATAGCCAGGGGGGGTTGGCAGGGTTCGGGCGACCCCCCTGACCAAAAATTCTTTCAAAATCATGCAGTTTGTCACCATTTTGAACACTTCTAAAGTGATTTTAGCCATATTTGGGCAAAAATTGTCAAATGTGAACCCCCCTGGAAATTTTTGAAATCTAACCCCCCCCCCTTGGCAAATCCTGGCTACAGGCCTAGTGGATTACAATTTATGGGGGTCATAAAATAACACATTTACATTCAAGTTCTCTCAAATTCGTGTGTCCTGATAGTACAAATTATGTAATTTATTACTTGTAAAATGAAAGTACTATAAATCAAGATAACCAGCTGAAACAGGCCTGTAGCCAGGATTTGCAAAGGGGGGGGGTTAATTTTTGAAAAATTCCAGGGGGGTTCACTTGTGACAATTTTGGTCCAAAAATGGCCAAAATCACAAAAAGTGCTCAAAATGGTGAAAAACTGCATGATTTTGAAAGATTTTTTTGACCAGAGAGGGGTTCGCTCGAACCCATCAAACCCCCCTGGCTATGGGCCTGTGAAATATACCTTTGTAAACATTACACAATCTACAACCCCAATATATCTGTCTAGTATACACAGTATATTGAGTATATTGATTAATTAGAACTTTCTTTATCAAAGCTTCACTTAACTCATTCAATACTGGGGCAAAAAGCACTATAATACTGACGATATTTTGAAAATTGCCATATATGGTACCTCTGAAATAATATATATTGTATATACATGGGCATACATATGTAGTGTTATATATCATTTTAAAGCATATGATATACTCTTTCAAAATGAATAGTTTTTTAAGTCCCATTTTATAAGTTGTCATGGTTACAAGGATTCCCAAAGATACATTGGGTTTGTGCTTGGACTTGATATCACGTCCTTAGTAGTCAACGTATGTGCTTTATGACGTCATATCAAGTCCTTAGTAGCGAATGAGTTAATAAACAAGAAAACAATTCCAATGAGAAGCAAATCAAAGTGAACTAAACATGCTAGGGTCGTTCGATAAATATTGTATATTGATACAAATTGATTCAAACATTATAGGCAATATGTAAGTCTTTATACTGACCATACTTTTAGAAACTTATAATATGCGTCAAATTGTGCAAAATTGTTTTGATAGACAAAAAACTGATCATCATTGGTTAAATCTGGTTGGAGCATAGGACCAGAACTAATTTATAATATTTCCACCATTACCCAGTGATTATATTTCTCTTGAAAAAGGGGAGGGGTGAGGGGGTTCACTGTATATAAACCTTGACAGGGATCGTTGGCTCACATTGGGTACCTTTTGGTATTGCTATGGACCTAAATTTTACGATCTGGTATGAGAATGCCCCCCCCCCCCAAATTATGACTTTTGAGGTCTACAAATTATGACTTTTGAAAAATGACAATGGTCGGATTTTTCCACTTTCTGGTATGAGGATGGTTGTGGAAAATATGTTACACTCCTCTCCATAAGTTTGGCAACCCTAACTCCCCCATTGGGCTACGTGTTAGAGTCTCTTTGCATGTTAATTTTTATTTACATAACCTACAATGAAATATTTATGATGAAGGTGAAAATGTAACTTGACTTTATTTCCAATGCTCCAAATTTTCCCAATTTTTTTCTTAATTACAAAAGGCCGAAAGTTGATGACAAAGGAGCATGTAGGTTATCGCAAACAATTTCAAACGATTCTAACTTGAATTATGAATATTTTCTGATCATGAACATGAGTGTATCTTTTACATCTATTCATTATCTTCAAGAAAATAAATATAATGATAATCAAATTAATCAGACCTTAGTGATATTGAAGGGGCAATGGACCAATCAACATACTTTTTCAAAAATGTTGACCTAATTTTCACCAAAAATGCAACCTTTTATTATATTGTTGAATGCATGATTAGAATGTGCTTTGAGACATGTTCAATTTCCTAAAAGGAAAAGTTGATTACTCCAGGGACTTTAAAGATACTGAATTCGGATGACCAAAATGAACTGAAACCAATGGATAGCATGAGATTTTTCAATGGAGAAATAACATGGGGAACATATATCTTGAAGCAATTAAGTTTTTCTTTCAAGAAATATTTGATACATTAAAATAAAGAATAGTAATGCATTAACCCTTTCACGACGATAGGCTCCATATGGAGCCCTATTATGTAATACCTTTCAGGACGATAGGCTCCTCTTGGCACCATTATTCTTATTTATATACATCAATGAAATGACAATATCTCCATTTCTATTCAGTATTTTTACACCAAATTTTGAGAAGTTATTCTAATGTGATAATCCTTACTAAAAATTGTATTTCATTGATAAATTCAAGGTATAGGTCCTGGGGTGGAGGTAATTTGCAGTTTTCCCCTAAAAACTGCTCTTACTTATCAGTCACGAGGGCTAACATTTTCCTCTTATATTCACGTCGGGAAAGGGTTAAACAATGTAAAAAATTATTGCATTTTTGGTGAAAATGAGGTCAACATCTTTGAAAAGTGTGTTGATGGGTTAATTTCTAGTTAAATATCTCCGAGTTTGTTTATTATTACTGTATGTAATTTTCTTTGAGACAATGAATTGATCTAAAAGATAAACCTGTCTTCATTGTCAGAAAATAGTCATAATTCAAGATATAACCTTCTGAAATTGTTTGCGATGACTTATGTGCTCCTTTGATGAATTTTTGAAAATTGTCAATCCCATGTAAACAAATGGGAAATGGTGGGTTCAGGGAAAATCAAATTTCAAGACATCTATTCAGTAAAAGCTTCACCAAAAATTATTTTCATACAGAAAATTGGAATATCTAACTTTTTGCACACTTAAGTATTAAAGGGTGACTCATATTGTTTAGCAAATCGAAAAATTTGTTTCTGATGTTGCTCATCGTTTAGTACAAAATGGGAGAGGTTTCTTTAAAAATAATTTTGACTTCGGAGTCCAATAAATTTACATGGGAATGTTGAATTTCAAAAATTCATCAGATTTGTCATCAATTTCCGACCTTTTGCAATTTTTGAAAAAAATGAAACTGCCTATTTTTAATAAGATTCCTGTGAAAAGAAATGCTGTTTTATATCTGAAAACAACTTCTAATAGTACTAAAAACGTTAGATTGCACCAAATAACATGCCCCTTGATAGTGAAAATGGGATGGAGGGGAGCAGTCAATTTCTGCTGGAAAATTCCAAAATTATGGAAGATTTATTGAATTCCTGAATTTACAGACGTATGGTATGGTAAAATGTGTTAAGTCTTCTACGATTCTTTTGGAACCGAGACGCTTCTAAGATATGAGACCTATTAAAAAATCAAAATAGGATGGGAAGAGGGGGCGGGGCGACCATGCAATTAGGTTCCGTACCACCTTTATTTTCTCTAAAATGCATACCTCTTTTCAAACATGATCCTATGCCCCTGGATAGTAAATAAAATATTCACAAGTGCTTCCCAAGGCTCAACTAAAATTTATAAATGAACTTCAATAATAGGTTAACAATGATAACATATAACACATAAATAAATTCATTTTACCAAACAGACAACCTGACAGCTCTTGATTAAATAAATTCAGGTGTTCTTTCATATTCAAGGATCAGCTTTAAACAGTGAATACTAAATTAAAATTCTAAACATAAAATCGAAGTTGACAATCGACAGTTCTATTCAAATACCACAAGATGTCTAGGTCACCATCGCCATATGGTAGAGACGATTATTCCCGGGACGACTATCCGGGAGGAAGGCGACCAACACTTGACAGAGCTATTTACAACCCAGGATTCAAACAACAGTCTATGTTAGTAACAGGCAACGAGGTTAGAGAACCAGAATTACCAAAGGTGGCTGTCCATACACAACCAACAAAACCTGAACAAAAGGACAAGACCAAAGATGACTTTACTCACACCGAGCATGTCGATGTTGACTTTGAGAGTGTCTTCTTCGAACCAGAAGATCCCAAGCTGATTGCTCCAGTTTCAGTTTACTATGAAATGCTCTACAATGTCGTCCTGGTGGGTAAACACGTTAAAATATTTTAAATCAAAGATAAAACTATTTTTGTATGGGTATCGATTACTGCAACTGTTGATAGCAAAAGATCTAAACTTTTGAGGAATTTGGTTCCTTAAAGCATCTTCAGTCATCTTTGTGATATGAATATCTTTGGTTGCCGTGCATCTATTTCCGTATAACGTTCATCAGTTCCTGACTCTTCCCCTTGCAAACAAATATAAATGCTGATAGCAAGTTAAAGAATGGTAAATCACTTGATCTAAATCTGTATGCTTGTTCACTTTCAGCATGGAGTCTACAACTTCCTAGCGATTATATTTGGAATCTTTATTACGTTGGGATGTGGAATTCTGTTCGGAATGTGCAACTTCTGGACCGTCTGGTTCATGCAGCCATTCGTCAGAATGTTCCTGATGTTCATGCGCATTTTGCACATCTTTTACAAGACCTTCGTTAGGTCCTTCTGCGATCCATGCTACAATTCTCTCAGTTTGGTCTGCTCTAGAATCAATGGCAGTTTTGGCGTGAATGTTTCTGGCATTAAAATTGGGCATATTGATAGAGTTTGACTACATACTGAACTAACTCCAACAGACATTCAGGAGAAATGGCGAAATATCCATAATGTTTGAATAAACACTTGACTCCGAAGAATGAACTCTAAAGATAGATATACAAATGGACATGTATGTAACCATGACAATCATTCATTTATGGATGTACCAAATAACCTAGTTGACTAGACAAAAGTGATCCAATTTGAGTAAAATTCTTAGATTGATACAAAGAATTATAACATGGAAAATAATAAACAATACTTAATCTGAACAAAATATATTATTGTTATAAATGTAACAAGACACAGATATAAATATCACACAAAATGGCCACCATGTAATTTACTCAACATGCCCAAATTCAGATGTTGTCAAATGAGTTGGGCATTTTAAAGTCCCCAGATTGCCCAATGCAACCACTCTGATCTACTCTGGATCTTTGTGCTAATTAAAGCATCGATAAACTGTTTTAGAAGTGAATTCATGCAATTTTCTTCGTCAAATTGACTGCTTTAAATGCGACTTGCATCACTACCTTAAACCCACATTTTGTAAATTGCACGTCTATTTAGGGAAAGTTTATCAGATGACTTTGATCAGATGGCAGATACCCTGGTTAACATGGAGAACATTTTGAAATAGATTTATCAAAGTAAAAAACAAACAAGACACATAGTGATTAATATCACACTTAATTATCAAAAAAAATCAAAATGGCAAATTGAAAATTCCATCTTGAGCAAAAGCCTATGCCTATACAAAGTATCAGCACCAAATGTGACAACCAATATTTGAGTTATCAAAGATTATACATTTTACAAACAATGGTGGTCATGTAAAATTGAGCACCCATATCCAAAACTCATTCTCAAGCAGTGGCCCTATTGCCACATGACAATAAATTTATACAAGGCATGACAAAATGTCACCACCTAGTTGCTCACAATATTATTAGTTCAATCTTAAGTCAGATTTGAATTTCTGAGAACTTTTAGATGATTATGAAAAAACATTTGTCAATTTGAAGCAAGTTGAAAAAAGACCTTTTTTGAACCTGAGAAGGTCATTGAAGGTGAAATCTCAAATCTAAAGTCAGATTTGAACTTCTCAGAACATGTAAAATATTTAAAAAAAAATAAATTGGTCAATTTGAAGCAAGTTGAAAAAAGACCTTTTTGACCTTGAGAATGTCATTAAAGTTCAAATCTTTTTTTTGACCTTGAGAATGTAACTGAAGGTCAAATCTATAGTCAGATTTGAACTACTGATAACTTGTAGATGATTTTGAAAAAATTGGTCAATTTGAAGCAAGTTGAAAAAATAAAATTTGACCTTTTTTGACCTTGAGAAGGTCTCAAATCTTTAATCTGAGGTCAGATTTGAACTTCTGGTAACTTGTATATGATTTTGAAAAAAACAATTGGTCAATTAGAGGCAAGTTGAAAAAAAACCTTTATGACCTTGAGAAGGTCAATGAAGGTCAAATCTAAAATCTAAAGTCTGAAAACTTGGTTTTGAAAAAAAACTGAAGTCAGTCTAAACAGTATTTGTTAAGTTATCGGAAGATTTAAGAATTTGTTACAGATGCCAAGATTTGCCAACCACCACCACAAAAAAAACGGAGACCATAACAATATGTTACCACTTTTTGGTGGTGATATAATAAAACCTGATGAACTGTACTCAAGAGCATTTTCCATGAAACTTATATTTATTTTGATTTGAATTCAATAGCCATATTGAAAATTTCTTAAGCAAGGGTCTTATGTCCCTGGGGCATCAGCATATAACTTTTCTAAACTTACAAAAAATTATTTCTCAGGCAGAAGTCCTATGCTGTAAAGTATCAGTCTTTAAAATGTTAATCAAACCTATATGACAGTCATTGCTCGGACAGGAATACAGGCAGAAGAAAGACAGATGGACAAATAGATGGAACGATAGCTTCTTTATATCCATACTCAAACTTCAATTGGTGGGATGATAAATATGAACTTGATATCTTCCCCAGGCTCATCTTAAATACATTAAAAAAACTTCAGTTACAGGTTAACAATGATTTAATTACGTAAATAAATGAGGTAACCTTATCAAACAGACAACTCTGATCAAGATTAAGGAGATCTTGATTAAATTCAGGTGTTCTCTCATATTCAAGGATCAGCTTTAAACAGTGAAAACTAAATTAAAATTCTAAACATAAAATCGAAGTTGACAATCGACAGTCCAATTCAAATAAGACGAGATGTCTAGGTCACCATCGCCATATGGTAGAAATGATTATTCCCAGGATGACTATCCGGGAGGAAGACGGCCAACACTTGACAGAGGTATTTTCAACCCGAGTTTCAACCCGCAATCAATGTTAGTAACAGGAAATGAGGGTAGAGAGCAACCGGAACTTCATTTACCCAAGAGAGCTGTCCATACAAAACCAACAATACCAGAACAAGGAGACAAGGCAAAAGATGACTTTACTCACACTGAGCACATCGAAGTTGACTTCGAGAGTGTGTTCTTTGAACCAGATGAACCCAAAATGATTGGTCCAGTTAAACTTTACTATGAAATGCTCTACAATGTTGGCCTGGTGGGTATACATTTGGAAACAATTAAATGAAGAATGAAACTATTTCTGTATAGGTCAAGATTTTTAGACAATAACCGATGATGGCCAAAATTCTTACCCAAACCCTGCTAGGAATTTAACTTGTTCCCTGAAGCATTTCAAGGAATTCAACTTGTTACCTGAAGCATTTCAAGGAATTCAACTTGTTCCCTGAAGCATTTCAAGGAATTCAACTTGTTCCCTGAAGCATTTCAAGGAATTCAACTTGTTCCCTGAAGCATTTCAAGGAATTCAACTTGTTCCCTGAAGCATTTCAAGGAATTCAACTTGTTCCCTGAAGCATTTCAAGGAATTCAACTTGTTCCTTGAAACATCTCCCACCATCTTTGTGATATAAAGATCTTTGGTTGAGGTGCTTCGGTGCTCTCCTATTTCTGTATGGTATTTTCTGTATATGGTGCATCAGTTTTTGACTTTACCAAAATATAATGTATAAATGCTGGTAGCAAGTCAGAGAATGGTAAATCACTTAATTAAAATCTGTATGCTTGTGTACTTTCAGCAAGGAGTCTACAACTTCCTAGCGATTCTATTTGGAATCGTTCTTACATTGGGATGTGGAATTCTGTTTGGGATGTGCAACTTCTTCACTGTCTGGTTCCTGCAGCCATTCGTCAGAATGTTCCTGGTGTTCTTGCGCATTTTGCACATCTTTTACAAGGCCTTCGTTGGATGCTTCTGTGACCCATGCTGCAATTCTCTCAGTTTGGTCTGCTCTAGAATCAATGGCAGTTTTGGCGTGAATGTTTCTGGCATTAAAATTGGGCAGACTGAGAGAATTTGAATACATACTGAACTAACTCTGAAAGTCATTTCGGCAGAAATGGCGAAATATCCATAATGTTTGAATTAACACTGAACTAACTCTGACAGTCATTCGGGAGAAATGGCGAAATATCCATAATGTTTGAATTAACACTGAACTAACTCTGACAGTCATTCGGGAGAAATGGCGAAATATCCATAATGTTTGAATTAACACTGAACTAACTCTGACAGTCATTCGGGAGAAATGGCGATATATCCATAATGTTTGAATAAACACTGGACTCCACAGAATGAACTTAATTAAGTTAACTAGGATGTAACCATGACAATCACTAATTTATGGTAACAAATGGATGCAACAAAGAGCAGTTACATAGACTTGATGAAAGAGATTCAGTTTAAAAAAGGAGAATCCTTAAGTAGATTGATATATACAACAAATAATAATTTGGAAAATAATAAGAAATACTGAATCCAAACAAAATAATTGTTTTGTCAAATCATTTCTTATTTTGAACATTTCTGGCAAGATAGGAAAAAACATAATGCTTAAACAAAGGCAAATATATGCATGTTTATTTAAAAGGAATGTCCACCATTTTCAATCAAGGTCCCATTCTAAAACAAAACACCATCTTGATTCACAAAGTTCCAGTTGCTCTAGCTTGACCTTAATTGATATCACAAATCTTCATATTTACCATTACATTTTAGACAGGCCCGTTACCAGGATCCCCAAAGGGGGTTCACTTTTTAAAAAATTCCAGAATAGATAACTTTGGCCCAAAAAATGGCCAAAATCACTTGAAAAGTGCTCAGAATGGTGGAAAAATGCATGATTTTGAGAAAAATTTGCCCAAGGGGGTTCGCTAAAAAATTATGATTTTAAGCATTTCCGCACATTTCTATCAAAATATTCCTTTTACATAGTTTCATCTATATTGTTTTAGAAAACAGATCAAACACTTGTTTTGTTCTTGGTATTATGTTTCCAGAGTGAAATGAAACATCTTTCCGAACCTCATTGGAAAAAAGACATAAACACATAAACGAAATAAACACAACATGTTTAGGTCTCTCAATATTGTAATTGTACAAAGGAAATTTTGGTTGATTTTAAAAAAGTATCTTTTTAATGAAATGAAAGGTTTATCTTGATTTTTATCTATTTTGGGGGAATTTTGTTTTAATTTTTTGAATACTTTTTTAAAATCAACCAAAAATTCCTTTGTATAACTATAATATTGAGAGGTCTAAAAACATGTTGTATATGCTATTTTGTTCCAACAAGGTTGGGAAAGACATCTTATTTCATTCTCAAGAACTGGTAGAAAGGAGCAAAACAATTGCACTAAAAAAACAAAAAATGTTAACAAAAACAGTTATATAAAATATTTCTTAACAATTTTTGCATTAAATTGTTGTCAATCAGTCAACATTACATGAAATACCATGTTTTTTACAGAATGTTTTCAATGATTGGTTTAAAAGAAAAACATTGTTGATACCAATCGATATCAATGATATCCATTGGTATATCGATACCAATCCTTTGATGCCTATATGTAGCCCCTGGATGACTCAAACCATAATTTATGATAAAATCAAACATTTTGAAAATAACTTGTAATCAATATCAATATATTTACGTGTATATACAGGGTGGGCCAAAAAATGCCACTTTTTTATTTTCCAACCTACATACATTAAATTTTACAGTTATATAGTGCCAGGGGTCCAAAGTAACAAAATAGTGTAACGAGTCCTTCAACTTGGATTGTTTTTCATCCAAAAGAGGAGTTCCATAATCCATTGGCCTGGCACCCTCTTTGATGTTAACCTTTAGTCTTAATCGCCATGCTGATATAGCAGTATCAATGAAATGTTGACTTTCTTTCAACCGGTCTTAATTGCCAGCTTTAGCAATTTTTGAGATTGGGTGTCTTTAAACCATCTCCTGGAGACCTCCCAATACCCTATACTCACTGGGGTTTCCATCATTTAGCTTGGTGGTCATCATACCATATCAGTTCAGGAACATTTTGCAAATTATGTTTATTTCTCATACATGCAGTACAGCACATGTTTCAGTGAGACGCTGGTACAGTGAATAATTTAGACGCTAGCCAACCCAAATTTGCGAGTGTTAGAGCCAAAAGTCGAATGTAAAAAGATGTTCACTTCCACTTTTGTCTGGTGTGAAATTTGAGGAGTGTCGAGTCATTTTAATAAACTTTAGTCAACAAAACAAATCTCTCTCGCATTTAACTTCACCGGTGCTGTAGTACCATGATTACTACAGTGTTGTCATGGTCAGAACAAGCTGCGGTTCCGTATGTCAAACATCCTCCCTCTTATTTTCCTATTTTACACATCATTATCGATCATTTTGTTCAAAGGTCTAATTTATTCATAGGGGAGTAGAATTACTGTCTCTATTTTCAAACGTCATCGAAATGAGCCGTTCTCTCATTGGCTTTTAATTACGCGGGTAACTGCGTCATTTTAAAAGACCGCTTCTCTATTGGTTAACGTAAACGATTACAAATTGTTTGAGAAACTTTCATTCATAAATTAATTAGTAGGCTTTCCCCGAAGAAACGTGTGACTATATATGGTTTTCATTATTTAACATATTGACATAAACAAAACAAAAATGGCTTCCGAACAAGACGAAAGAAATTTTCTGGTTTGTTTTCCTCGTTTATTCTCTCACGTCTCGTCGCCTCATCACTGTTACAACTCAATAATAACCAATGGGACTTGAAATAAAGAAAATATATGTTCGAACAGTAATTAATCAGCGTTTAATATCAGATAAATACTGAAAGACTGGACGAATTAATTTGTCTTCAAGTTTTCATGTACATGTAGGCCTATCGTATTTACTTCAAGTGATTTACAACATAGAAAAAATATATACTACGAAGAAAATGTGATTTACTTTGCACGGTTTTCAGAAATCAGAATGCCTCAGATTGCACCTTTTGCTGTTGATTTTCAAATTTTCTTGGGGGAAGACATCCAACCGTCCCCCAATTCTCTTTCTGTTCTCATATCTGAAATATGAACCTTCATCTGCCATAGACATCATTGTAAAGAGGGTTTAAGGCAATCTAAGCAATGTGTCACAATCAAACCTCAGATAAGTTGTAGTTCCCATGTTCAAAATGTAGTTGTTAATGAAAATCAGGTTGAAAAATTGTTGACAATTGTTGATGGCAGTGGACCTGCTAATGTAGAAGTTCCTAATGATAATGAACCTGATGTGGTGATGACAGCATGTCAGAGGATGAATGATTTGTTCAATCATGACTGCCTCTGATAGTGAGGGGGAGGATATTGTCTATTTTAAGTTTGATAATATGTAAGATATGGATGCTAAAGCTGTGAACAACAACTGAATAGAAATAAAAATACCGATTGCATAAAATTATGCCTGTTTCTTTATTTTGACTGTGTCAAGTGTGTATTTTAATTTGTCGAATACAAAACTAGTCCACACTAGCCACAAGTTGTCCAGTGAAAATTTCATATGTCAAGTGCTGATTTTTGGACAAAAATCCAATATTATACACTGCGCTGGTAACATATTTTATTCAAGTAAAAGTGTACAATTCATAATCCATGGCTAGAGTGCAACTTCAAGTTTCATTTGGTATGCAAATTATGATTAAAAATATAGTATTTTGAAAAAAAGTGGAGTTTTTTGGCCAACCCTGTATGTATGGTATATATTATATTGTATATCAAAATGAAAAAAAAACAGAAATAGAAAACTCTGAAATTGTCTGTTGTTTGCATTGAAACCCATGAATATAGATGATGGTAATGTATTACAACATATATATGAATGAATGTACCTTCGGTGTTCACATTTGAACTGACTGAACTGGGAAAATACATATACGTGTACCATACATGGTACATGTAGAAGTAATTTTATCATATATCATGATAAACTAGAAAATGGCAACTCCACGGAGTAGCGAATCCCAACGAACACTATATACTTAAGTAAATCATCAATCTGTACAGCCACAATGTAATATTTACCATCTACTCTTACCTTCAATAAATATTTTAAATCATTGTACTATCATGTAACCATACTTTCAAGATTACTCTAAGTAATTGCGAATTTCTGCTCTAGTCAGCCATTTTGAATTTTCAGAGGCGCAAATCAGAAAAAACAATGCCATAATTATGATCTACTCTAAAATACCTTCAATTTGAGTATAATATAGCCATACTTTGAGGAGATTAGAAAATAATTGCGAAATCCCGCATAAGTGGCCATTTTGAGTTTTTTGAGGCCCGAATCAAAAAAACGCTACAATATTTACAATCTCCTCTAAATTGCCTTTCATTTGAGTAGAATAAAGCTATACTTCAAAAACATCTCAAAATTAACGCAAATTCCTGTTTTCCCGATCCCCCATTTACGGCCCCGGGGCTCAGGGTGAAAAACCCAGGATATATATGAATTAGATAGATGTTGTTAATATACTACCAAAATTTCAATTAATAATATTTATTATTTTAGTTTAAAATGAAAAACATAAGATTTTTGCAAAAAATTCCCACCATTTTTAAACTGGCAGCCATCTTGAAAAATTTTTTTTTGCGTAAAACTATTGACCAGTATACATCTTTCCACCAAATATGAAAAAGATCTGTCCACTAGTATTCGAGTTATCTTCCGGACAGACGGATGGACTGACTGACGGACTGACAGACTGACAGACTGACGGACTGACGGACTGACGGACTGACGGACGGAGGGCTTCACTATATCCCTACAGAACTTCGTTCGTTGGGATAATAAAACTATTATTCTATTTATAAGGTCATGATTATTTAAATGAGTAAAGCCTGATTCCTGGTTTGTTTACTCTCAATCTCACAATATAATGCCCATGAGCATTATTTATATTTGAAATGGGCAACATGATGAAAGGGCATTGTTACGAGAAATCCACTAATAAGAGTATCACATAAGTTGTCAGGTTAATCATGATAAAGCGTTAACAAAAAAGCAGTTTCGTTTTGGCATCCTTCTGCTCTATCTGTTCTGAAACAGGTGGATTGCATTAGAAAACCAGTATACTGGCTTGTATAGATTATTGTCAGACGAAATGGGCATATACATGGTATGATAAGTCCCATTAATCAAAGAAAATGCTTTTTGAATGTTTTGAAGTCGTGAAATATTTGTAGAATTGAAGTCAGGGTCGAGGTGAAAAGTCACACAATCAAATGTGTCAAAACAAAACTTGGTGACTAAAAACTACATCACGAGTAAATGCATGGTAGACAAAGTAATCTAAAGGGGCCATATCTATAGCTTGAAAATGGCTTTTAGGGGTAATTACAATAGAAAAGTGTTCTCTATTAGTATTATAATTCTCTTACAAAATATATAGCAATTATATTTTAAAAATTGTTAACTCATAAAAGCACCATAACATGTTTTTGTTGGAAAATATGTTGTTTTTTAAAAACTGGTGCATGCTTACATTTCTTATTCATTTTCAAAACAGAATAGTGGTTTTCCCTCTCTAAAGGGACTCACTTGAAAAACGAATAAACGATTTTCAACTTTGAAGCTAACAGATAGAATAATGTGCATTTATAAAAAAAAGCATGGGAAAAGGAGACTGAATTTGTTTTGAACGTGTCATTTATGTAATTGAAATCTCGTTATAGAAGAATCACCCCCATGGCTGTGTAGCATCATCAATATTTTAATGTTTTAATAGAGTGATATATCATTGGAAAGGAAATTGAATAATCTAGCCAGTGGTAGAACCACACATGAGCAATACCTGAAGATTATAAAGAGATGTGTGCTCATTTTTATCAGATCACCCTGTATACTACATGTACCTCCCTACCACTAATTAAATAAATAAAAAAAATAATGTGAAGTAATATGAAACTGAATATCAATTATTTTTGAAATACAAAAAATATAAATTTCTTTTTTATCAAATCATATTATTTAAAAGTATTATAAATCATGTTTTTCCTCGAGGCACGGGGCATGTTTGTTCCAAGTTTACTTTAAATCGAAAATCAATCAAATCAACCCTAGACTATTGACAGGTAGAGTAGGTATAATCTTAAATATGCCTTATTTACAGTTATATAAGATAAGAATATTGTTTTATGGTGGTAAGTTTACATAATTCATCCCGACCCATCTGGGCTTATCAACTACTTTAAGTTTGGATTGTTAAGCATTTATAAATTATCATTAATCATAAAATGAATGAATGAAAGACAAGTCACACAATGTTTTTTGAAAAATTAACAAGGCATTAACATGCGGAGTCTTGAAGAACTAATCGGGAGTTTAAGCTTGCATATAAAATCGAAACGGCAACCTCTATGTATGACCAATCGCTAATACTAATGCATCGCTTTCATATTTTTTCTGTTCACGTTTAGGTTGTGAAAATCATTGCAAGCTTAAAATCCCTATAGTCTAGCTACAAGAACTTGCACACAGGTGAAGGTGTTTAGTTAAGTAGTAGAGGGGGGAGGTCACAGAGGCTTGTACCTAGACAACATTTTTTATTGAAGAACATTTTATTGATTACATACAAATTTTACAAAACTTACATCTTTTGGTAGTTTGGCAAATCCACGGACACGATCCCAAGCCTCATTCTGGAAAGATGACTCGGGAAACACTTCTGTGACGAGACCTCTTTCACAAGCTTCCTGTGCCGTCAACTTGCGATTGAATAGCAGCATCTCATTGGCCTAAAATGCATTGCAATATCATTACGGTCAGTGTTACACAGTAGGTTTGATTGCTTCTTTTGAAGCATTTTGATAAAAAACTTGGCAATGAAGGTGTTTTTTTTTTTTTAATCATCTTTATTGTATTCCATAAAATACAGATATACAAACTTAAACAATTGCCAAAGTCTAATGACATTGACGGCAATTTTGAGTGAAATCCAAAGGAATATTATTAAGTTTTTACATAATAAGTTATTTTTATGTCATGTTATTGTTAAAATAGATGAAAAAAAGTCAATAAAATATCATCACACTACACTCGTATATCACAAAAATGTGTAAGGTTTTTTTTTTTTCCCTTGGCCAGAGGGATTTCAGTTGTAACATGTTGTAATCGATTACATGTCCAAAAGATCTAGACCCTGGTGGATATAATATGCTACTATGTTCATTAGTTTCTCATTGACATCTATTGGAAATTTATTATCTCCAAAAAGTAAGAACTGGGATTGATCATGCATATTAAGTCCATCATAGTGGGTACGGATCCCTATCGTCTCCAATCCTGCAATTAGTGTTATTCTCTGTTCTGTCAGCAGTGGGCATTTCAACAGGAAATGTAAAGTTGTCTGGTTTGTATTGTCACATAAACATTTAGGATTAGCAACTCGTTCAAAGTTGTGTGCATGGAGGTGAGCTTGCAAGAGAAGTCCGGACCTGAGTCGGTTTAACGGAATTTCTAGGTAGCGAGGCATGGCATTTTTTAGTTTTGACGTTGATAGGGTAGAAGCATGGCTTCCATCGCCTCTTACTATTCTTTTAAATCTTGAAATTGGCTAGCCAATTCTATAATCTGGTGGAAGGTTATTCCAAAGGGCCATACCTTTAAAAATTGTAGATTTCTTAGCCAGAGCGCTTGTTTGAAGGGGAATCTTATAGTCCCTGTGGCTCCTTAGTGAGCGCACCTGTATATCATTCTCATAGGACCTGACAAGATTACAAATGAAAGGAGGAAAGTTATTATATCTTGCTTTAAAAATAAATATTTTGAGATGTTCCTCTCTTCTAGAGGATAAAGTTTTCCAGTTTATTGATGAGAGAACTTTATTAGTGTTCGAGCCATGGATTGCTCCAGAGACTAGACATGCTGCTCTATAATGTAACCGTTCAAGAGATTGCAATTTGGTATCTGATGCACTATTGTATATGATGTCACAATAATCAAAATGAGGGAGTATGTACGCATTATATAAAGTTTCAAGGTGCTTGCTTGACAAGATAATGAAGATAATCAAGATAATGAAGGTGTTCACACACCTCTTCATGTAAACATCTCTACATGTAAACACCTCTACATGTAAACACCTATGAAGTGTTACACAGCAGGGGTTTCATTAGCAGCAGGCAATGGGCCATTTTCACCAGTTGTTTTCACAAAATCACCTGTTGTTTTTAGGGACTTGTTAACTTTTCCATGTTAAATTAAAGATTTCCATTCATTTTGCCTGTTGTTTTTTCATTTATTTAGCCTGTTGTGAGAAATTCTAGTGAAACCCCTAAACAGGCACAAAATCTTTCATAATGAAGCCATTTAACCCTGCCGTGTTTAAAGTACGTATGTTATTCTTCATTTCAGATTTATACAATTTACACAATTGTTTTTCAATATGCTGAGGGATATAGGGACAACATCATAACAATGGAAATTATATAGATTTTTTGGTTGAGGAGTCAAGAAATCAGTATAGGTATGTGTCTATATAATGACCTACCTTTGTGGTCCCCATAATTTTTGGAAATGTATATGATGAGCAACCCTCAGGTGACTGTCCTAAGGCACTGAATGGTGTGTTAAATGTGGCCTGAAAGTTAAAAATTAAAATCAAAGTTATTATTTTTGAACATTTGGGCACCTTTCTGCTGCATTTACTCAATTTGTACAATTTTTATCACTTATTTTCATACTAAGTAACGGGCTGGGTTAATAATTTCAATCAAAAAAACATAATTAATTATGTTTATTATCATGTTAGGGGGAGGGGGAAAGCCCTATTCATTTGCGTTTATTCAATTTGTATAATTTTTATCACTTATTTTCATACTTAGTAACGGGCGGGCCGGGGTCAATATTTCAATGTCAATCAAAAAAAACTAATTCATTATGTTAGGGGGGAGGGGTAAAGCCCTATTAAATTAGGTGACAGACATTGATTTTTAATTTCCTGGAGATCCATCCTCTGCAATGGTATGGTCATTATTAAACATGCAACAGCTAAGTGCATGTAAGAGAATCCGATATGTTGTTTACTGCAGTAGCAGATTTTATATGCAGGGATTGTACTTGTAAATCATCATTTTGACATGTTTATACTGTGGGCAAATCAACAGTTTGACTTTCGTTAGAAGGGGGAGGGGATTAAGACTTAACTAAATTAATTTCATTTTTTGACAGACATTGAAATATTGACCCGGCCCCTAAAGCTTATAACAAAACAGTGATTGAAGAATTTTACTGCAAAACCAAACTTCAGCTATGACTCTTCACAAATTTAAAGTACGTGTACAGTAAAATCTGTAAGCTGGAACACCTCTGTAAATGGAACACCTTCATAAATAGAACACTTTTCAAAGTAAAATGAAGTGATGGAACACCTCACAAATGGAGGTACCAATGGTGTTCCACTTATGCACATTTTACTGCAAATGCAATACCATATAAGGACATTCAACTTACATTGTCTGCAGCATAGACTAGATCAAATAAGCCTAGTACAGTACAGGAGACTCCTACACTTGGCCCATTGATAACTCCTACTAAAGGCTTAGGAAAATCTATGAATGCCCCTACAAACTTTCTGAAAATGTAAAACACAGGGCATATAACACAGGGTATATAATGCAAGGCACATAACACAGGGTATATAATACAGGGCACATAACACAGGATATATAATACAGGGCATATAACACAGGGTGTGTAATACAGGGCATATAAAACAGGGTATATAATACGGGACATATACTGCAGGACATATAATACAGGGCATATAAGAAAGGGCATTTAATAGAGGGCATATAATACAGGGCAAACACTGGAGGGCATATAACACAGGGTAATGATACAGTGCATACATGTACATGTATCAGGCCTGTAGCCAGGATTTTCCAGGGGGGACTCACTTTTCAAATAAATTCCAGGGGGTTCACTTTGGCAATGAATGGTAAAAAACTGCATGATTTTGGAAGAATTTTTGGATGGGGGGGTTTGCTCAAACCCCCCTCACCCCCTCATCCCCCTCCCATCCCCATTGTGAATAATGCAGGTGATTATGATTTTTGGCAAATTGTATCATTATAATTGTAAACTTACTTGAATTGTCATATCAAATTAAGGGGAAATTATATAAAATGTAACTATAATTTTAGGTAAATTGTACATACTGTTTGATATTTTCTATCTACATAAAACGAAACAGAGACTGATCTGCAGCCTTTTCATGCATCTGTGAAGAAACTTACTTCAATATGTCACCACCATCTTCGGCCATTTTGGCCATATTGCTGGGATCGACGTTCATAAAGTTAGTCAAGTCATTTCCACTGCAGTAGTAGTCTCCAGCACCTGGAATTTCCAATAGAAATTACAATTAGTGGTTGTCTCCAGAACCTGGAACTTCCAAAAGGAAATTGTGTTGCAATAAAACCTGTCAAATTCAAATGCCATTGAGACTGGCTAAAAGTGTTTTCTGATTGGCAGGGATTCATATTTCAATTTATTTTAAAATTCAATGGGAAAATACAAAATTGGGACAAAGAAAAAGTTTTCACATTGAGGGGTGTCATAATTAGAGAGGTGTTCGGATATACAGGTGTTACTCTATCAATTTCTAAATGGTACACACTACACAGTTTCTGTTGCTGCCATTTGTTCATGTTTTGCAAATAACACTAAGCAGGACTTTGAACAGCTATTTACACGGGCTTAGGTTGACAGGATGAATGTTCATAAAAAGATGTCAGGTCAGTCAACTAAGATAGAATATCAAATTTAGACTACACTGCTGCCATCTTTATATCACCCAAAAAACTAAAGATGTATCTTTATATCACCCAAAAAACTAAAGATGTATCTTTATATCAACCAAAAAACTAAAGATGTATCTTTATATCACCCAAAAAACTAAAGATGTATCTTTATATCACCCAAAAAACTAAAGATGTATCTTTATATCACCCAAAAAACTAAAGATGTATCTTTATATCAACCAAAAAACTAAAGATGTATCTTTATATCACCTAAAAAAACTAAAGACATATTTTTATATCACCAAAAAACTAGACATATCTTTATATCACCCAAAAACAAAAGACATATCTTTATATCACCCAAAAAACTAAAGATGTATCTTTATATCACCCAAAAAACTAAAGATGTATCTTTATACCACCCAAAAAACTAAAGATGTTTCCATCAGTCAAATTCATCTGCCAGTCAAGTTTTTCCTGTATGTCTGTGTCAAGTGTCAAGTATGTAGTGTCTAAGAGAAATTGACATAACTGTATTTTGTGAATGAAAAGAGATCATGGTCACAATCACAATCACAAGTGTGACCACACCGCCACCATTACGACTATATCACACTGCTGGTGTAATAACTAATTGGCCTACCTGTTACAGCTGCTACAACCACACTGGGGTCTTTTGCTGCTTCCTCCAAGGCATTTCCTATTTCCTCGTACATCTACAGGCACAACCGCAATATGTTAATATGGATCACAAACAAATGCTAATAAAGGTAAGAGAATACAGTCTGACATTTTGAAAAATGTGACCAGATAGGGTCCTTCTCCTAAACGATGGTTTTTAGGAGATGGTTTGATATTTTTATTATCTTAATTATGTAACTTTAAAAGAAATTATATTATTTTGATGAAAAATGCTGCGCAAGGTATTTACATTTTTGTATTTATTGTCTAAATATTGTATATTGTATAATTTATTGTATTTTATTTATATTTATCTAAATATAGTCCGGGTCAAAGATACAACTGTCTTAAATCATTTGACATACCATACCTGGTCTATGATAGTATTATTATTGTGCAAAAAACAATTTATTTGAGAAGTAAAAGCTAGGGAAATAACTGAGTTTGGGGAACCAAACCTGTAGCCACCTTTTGCCAAAGGGATACCCAAAAATCCCAAAGGGGCTCAAATTTGACAATTTTAGCCTAAAATCACTTGACAAGTGCTCAAAGAATTTGAGAATTTTTGAAACCCTCTGGCCAAGAGCTTGGGGGTTTAACAGACTTACAGCAAAACTGATTGCATTTTTCTTCTCTGGTCTATTAAGTGTTATAGTAAACAGGCCATCTTCCTTAGTGGTTAAGAGAGTGGTGAACTTTCCCTCCTCAGCGGTGCCACCTGATTCACCTCCTATAAATAGAAAACAAGGCACACAGTGATAAATATCACACTTTTTATCAAAAATTCAAAATGGCTGCCAAAAAATATACACAGCATGCTCAAGACCGGATCAGATTTTGGTCTAAGTTTGCTCTGCTAATTTGTCACTTTCTGTAAAATCAATTTTCCCAAAAAATCCTCATAAATTTGAATCAATAATTGACTTACCCTCTGTGGCTCCAGCATCTTGATTGCTTGAATCATTCTTTACAAGGTCCTCCACTATATTTATATACTCTAGCTGGGCATCATCCTAGAAATATTATTGTATAAGTGTTCGAAATATATTGTATAAGTATTCAAAATATATTGTATAAGTGTTCAAAATTATTGTATAAGTGTTCAAAATATATAGTATAAGTGTTCAAAATTATTGTATAAGTGGTAATTTTGCCTAATCATTGAATTTGCATATTTTTCCAGGTTCGGAAAATTAAATGTCGGAAATATTATCTTCATAATGATATCCAATGTAAAGTTTCTTGTTGCAAGGAAAATCAAAATTAGAAAAATGGTAAAAGTTGACAATTCAGGAAATATCATGGATTAAATACCAAGTATTAGCAAGTGTTCCCATTTCAATGTTTTTCAAATATGTGAGTCAATGGGAGATAATTTTGTTCACTCTGAGAGGTGTTTGGATTAAAGAGGTGTTTGCATTAAAGAGGTGTTTGCATTAAAGAGGTGTTTGCAAATACAGATTTCACTGTACATGTAGGTTAGTCTAACTCGAGTCTCTAGCTTAGACCTACATAAGAGACTGGTTTTTCTTAAAATCCCGCATCATATAAAATAGAGTTTTCTCTTGCACTGTAAATCAATTAATATTCTTAATATAGTCATACATATGACCAATTAGTCTTAATATGTGATAAATCTTAATAAGTGTTTAATCCGGGGTGACCCAATGAAATCTTGAATGAGTCTCCATATTTGTACATTTCATGATGTTATAGTAGAATTATCTTTTTAGGATCCCTCAATCACAGGTTTGGATCGAAAGATTTGTCCACGGTGGCTGAGTGCTATTTTTCATAAAACAATAAGAAAACTTCAAAATTTATTTTTCCAACTAAGCCAGGGGCTCATTTTGTCTGAGGTCTGTATGGGCTGCTTTCAAACTTGCATCCATTTTTCTGTCTTAACTAATCCCAGATTTTTCCATCTGATTTAAACTTCAATTTAAGACTTTCAATTAGAAGAAGTGGCCCATTACTTAATACAATAAACTGTTATTGATCTCAAAGTTCAAAGATAATCTTCTGAACAGAAAGTACAATGTAAATTTGGTTTGCAAAAAAAAGAATGCACACAAAAGTTGAAAGTGCGGAAAATCAGAATAATGTCATGGCTGCCGCTGGCGCTTGCGTTAGTTATGCCTGGGTCACATTTGCTCTGATTTATCAGCCAGCCTAGCAGTTTGAGAATTTTGTTGAAAGCTTAGAGGATATTATATGACTCAGGCATGACATACTTGAATTCACTATGGTTTAAAGTTGCCAAAGTTGCGAAAATGGAGAACCTTATTCATTGAGTACAGAGTATGCTCCTCTGAATATATGAAGTTTTGACTGAATTATCCGCTTTATATATTATGTTACCACTATTATTTTGCAGCATTAAACAGAAGACAGAGAAATATTCAATTATAAATTCATCTTTAGTGTTATGATGATAAATTTGTTTATATTTTGAAAGCATAAAAAATACTGAAAAATGGATTTTCACATTATCTTTTAATAAATGCTTATTTTGATCCCACTGCTCTGTGTCTTGTTCTGTGGTAGGTTCAATTTCAGAAAATCAATTAAAAGTGGCCCATTGCTTTATACAATGAACTGTTGTTGATCTCAAAAAATCAAAGATATCAAATACTCTGAAAGAAAGTAAAAGTTTTGTTTGCAGCTGTCATTTCAGCTCACATGCTTCACTTGTTAGGTCTATTATGAGGTATGCTTTTTTTATATGATCATGAAGTTCTTTTACAGGTGTTTTGAGATTTGTTTTCATATACTGTACTCCCGGTAATTTTCGCACGCTACTATATTCCGCGCTTTTCGCGAGTTTTGGAAAATTCACGAAATATAATTGCCACGAAATTCCTCTAGTTTTAATTCGCAAAATTTGATAGTCAAGAAATTCCAAGGAAATTCCCGAGGATTTCAATGTTGACAATATTTCATCCAGTGCTGGGCAAAATAGGTAAAAACAGGACATTTTGAGTTTTGAAAAACAGAAATTAGAAGAGAGATCGTTATCACTGTATCAAAATGAACATTCTTACGAAAAGGCTTAATAAGAAGCCAAAATCATTGGGTCAAGGAACAACCATGGCTGATATCAAAGTCGAAAGAGTGATCCTGTATGACAAATCTGCGGAAATTAAAAGCCACGAAATTTCAAAAAACTGAAATTAGGTGAAATGTAACAGCCGCGAAATTTCAAAATGCCAAAAACACGATTAAAATAGCGTCAAATATTAATGGGAGTTCAGTATTCTGACCTTTTTAACTTTGCGTCTAAATATTTCAAAACACAGAATGTACACATTCATTATCATGTCCCAGAAAGTTTCATGTCATTGTAAATACTTCAGTCCGAAAGTAGAAACAATGGAAGAATAAATATACCAAAGAATATGTAATCGTCTAAGAATAAGAATAGTGTCATGGCTGAGGGTTAGTAATTTGATCAGATTCACTTTGGCTAAAATCACCAAAGTTACAAAAAGTGAAAAATTTAATTTTCAAATCAGCGATGAAAAGATGTGCTGCTTTAAATGTACAGAGTTTTTTCTGTAACATCCGCTTTATTTATTATATTACTACTATCATTTTGCAGCATTAAACAAAAGTCAGGCCCATAATTAATTATAAATTTATCTTTAGTATAACAAAGATATATTTGTTTCTATTTTGAAATCATAAAAAATTCGGAAAGATGATTTTAAATCATTTTTTGATAAAATTCTTATCATGACCTCACTGTCAAGTGTCTTGTTCTGTAATTGACCATTTTCCTTATAAATGGAAAAATAGATGGCATCATAGGTATTGGTAGGGCTAAATAACACGGCAACTTAATAGGAAAAGTCCCTTAATTCCTCAATTTAAGTAATTCCATTTGGATCAACTTAAAACACCATTGGAATGAAACTAAATGATATTATTAACATGTGGATTGTGATATCACATTAAAATTGTGATCCTTATAAGAGTAAATGAACTTTTAAAGGTTTTTTATCATTGTGTCAATGGGGATTTAGCCCGACCATTTTTAGAAAACTTGAAAATCTCTAGAAGTTGAATAAAGGTAAATATCAGTCCAAATCAAAGTTATTTTGAGAGAAAATTACACACAGAATTCAAATATGGCATCAAATAGAAGAAACTGTTAGTCTGAGTGGTCAAAATGCAGATCTCCTAAAATCTCATTAAAAACGAGACTTTAGTGAGATTTCAAAGCTATATGGAAAAGCCTCTATTGGTTCAATTCCAGGAAATCAATTGTAAGAAATGGCCCATTACTTTATCTAATAAACTGTTCAAAGATATCAAATCCTCTGAAAGAAAGTATAATTTGGTTGCAGCTTTCATTAGACAACCTCCGAAATATATTTTTTCCATAATATCCTACATTTACCTTTGCTGGGAAACAAAGTTATAATTTGTTTGAAATTACTTCAGCTAAAAATTGCCAAAGTTACAAAAAACTCACTTAACAAAAATTAGATGTCGTTGTTGAAATGAAAATGATGCATATAATATCTGTATAAACTTTTTTCTTAATTATGTGCTTAACTTATTTTATTACCACTTCTATTTTGCAGCATTACAAGAAACTAAGGGCCATTAACAATTATGAAATTATCTTTACTATAACGCTTGTAAATTTGTTTGTATTTTGATATAATAAAAAAATATTTGAATACTATTTTCTAATTATAATTTGATAAAACGTTAATCATCATCTCACTGTTAGTGTCTGTGCTGCAAAGAATTACCCTAACCAAAATTGTCAAAGTAACACAAATTCAGTTCATACACTATCAAATTATGCTGCTAAAAATGTATGAATATGAATTTTTTTCTGAATTATCCAATTAAATATTTTATTACCACTACTATTTTGCATCATAATAAAAAAACAAGACCCATATTCAATTACAAAATCATACTTAATTACTAACACTGTTCTGGCAATAAAAGTAGCCAATTATGATCTTTTTTTTAAGTGGTAAAAATAGCACCATTTGTTGAATGCACATTTGACAATACACTGGCGGATCCAGAAACTAACAAGGGAGGGCCCAAATTTGGGCAAAACATTTTGGGCCCCTAAAACCAAATATTGGGCCTAAAATTAAAGGCCCATTTTTTTTTTTGCCTAAAAAAGCCAAATTAGGCCCATTTTTGAGGCCCTAGAAATTTTTGGGGACCTAAAAAGATTTTCTGGGCCCACAAAAGGGGGGATCCCATGCTTCATATTACTGTCCCTACATGTAAATGAACCATATTTGATAGCCCAAAAGTGTTCCACTTAGGAGATAATTCACATGCAGGGGTTAATTTTACATTGAGGTTATGGCAAACTGAACTTCAAAAGTGTTCCACTTAAAGAGGTGTTTCACTTCACAGGTTAAAATGTAGAATACACATATGGGCAGATCAAAGTCTTAACATACAATTGTAATAGAAGATCAAAGGCAAAAAAAAGTCAAAGAGCCCTATGAACCTAATCCAACTTCCGATTGTTACGTAAACAACATATGCTATGCAAACCCTGCAACTTTCTCTTCTTCTCTTTCTCTCTCATTTCTTATTCTTGTTTATTAAATGTTTAATGTTCAAGCATCAGCTATCTATTTGAATATTTATATAAAAAAGGCTATATACATCCAAGAGGATGTCAAGCCGAGATATGTAAAGTATAGATGAATTTAAAAATCAAAGGTCTCAAATTACCTGAGACATTTCACCGAGGCCATTCCATGCATCCCATTTAGCCTTCCCCACAAAGTCCATCATTCCCGGTTTTTTGGTGTTGCATTTTCCTACAGATGCCTAGAAAGAAAATGTTGTGAATATAAATACACTTAATTGACCTATAATACAAAAATACTATAATAATGTTTCAAATACAAGGGCATAGCCAAAGTATGAAAAGGATGTAATAGATTTTCAGGGTTTCGCTAGAATTTCTAACAACAAGCTAAATAAATGAAAACAACAGGCAAATTAATAATAATGGAAATCATAAATTTAACATGGAAAAGTTAAAAAGTCCATAAAAACAACAGGTGATTTTGTGAAAACAACCGGTGAAAATCGCCTGCTGCTAATGAAACCCCTTAATTTAACATAATAGAAACAGATCACTTTATCAGTTTCAGAAAGAAAGTAATCTGATTATTACTTTTTCAATAAAACTACTGCCTGGCTTAAATAAGTTCTGCATTTTTTGTAATGCTTTTAGTATTTCTAAGCAAATATGATATATTTCATCAAAATCATGACTAAGTGACAAGAACTTTGATTTTTATTTGCTTAGTTATTTGCTATCAGAAAAATGAATAAACTAAAGCAAAAGGATTGAGCAAATGATAGCAAGTGGTTAAGACTTGATAGAGTAAAATGGTTATATCTGGGTCATTAAAGAAGCTCACCTGTTTGAACAAGGCATACATCTGAAGTTTTGTCTGATTGCCTGGGTCATCCTTCAGCGTACCTAGCCTATCTTTAGCTGCAGCAAACTCCGCATCATGGGCAGGATAGAGCACCTTGGGGGTGGTAAATAGGCTTCTTGATCCAATATTTCTACAAAAATGTATTTCTTATTTTTTAGGTATTCATGATTTACTACATAGCGGTTTATCAAATGATATCAATAAACCTCCCTCCAGCATTATAGCTGTTCCTTTTTCTGAGTTGAAGGAATTTCAAAAGATTGTGAGCCACAACACATTTAGTCCTTAGTCTAAAAATGGCTTTTTAAGGAGATACACAACAGTCTTTAAGTGCATATCAATACATATTTTGAAAGTAGAATCAATGAAGAAGGCATTAGACCAAAAATCATCTTGGAAGCAAGAAAATATACATGTATTTAGCAATCATCAATAGCAGATAGAGTTGGTGCCCGATTCAAAGGTACAGTATGCCCGAGACAAACCAATTTTGGGGAGTGTATAGGGACTTTGAGATGCAGTATTGTCTCAGAGAAAGGACTCAGGATTCTGACATAGTTTTTTCATCTCATGAGTAGGAAATTTTGGCATGCATACATGTATTCCCAGTAATAGTAATTTTGATAACAGTGAATATTTGACCAAATATAATACATATACCGCGCAACACAAAAAATGTCACCAACATAATGTTTCATAACTTTTTTGTCTAGAAAAATACTGACTTGTTTTTTCCCACATTAAAACTATACTCCATTTTGAAACTCCATAAGAAGTTTCAGATGACTAGCTCAACTAGATACACATTTATGAGCATTACAAAATGAGTGGGGTTCGTCCCCGCCTGAGGTTCTTCGATCTTTCAGTTGGGGGTTGTTCCCTGCCACAGCCAGGGGTTCATTTTATAACAAAACGCGGAGTTTGAGGTCAAAGAGTATGGGGGTTTGCTCGAGCATCATAAACTCACTCGTGCTACGCCGATGTATTATTTTATTGCTGTCAAGGTGGGGAAATTGACTCACCAGCCAGGCTGCTCCTAGTATGTATCCAACAGACTGACTTGTAGGAGCCAGTCTGAATATAATTCAGACTAAATAGGATACAGTCTAAGGCTGCTCCCACATAGCCAATTAGACAGCAACATTTTTATTTTTCCAATTTCTACATCCCGAGAGTTGGGGACTCTCACGTTGGATAATGGAACACGAGCAATTGCATAAAACCAAAGTTGTTTTGGTGTTGACAAAAATAAATTTGCAAATATTTTTTTCGTTTTCAAATAACATCATATATAGAAGAAATAAGAAGTAATTCGTTTTGACAACGATGTCAGTGGCTGCTTTGATCCAGTATCCAACAATAGCATTCAATTGAAACACTTCTTATTGCTTACCGACACAGATATAACCGAGTTTTCATACATCCCAGAAGAGCTAGACTTTTGATGGGGGCTGACATCTTGGAATCGCGCATGCGCATTGTCACGTTCTTCTCAGATGAAAATGGCGGACTCTCCCAAATTGTTCGAGGTAAGCATTAAAAAACACTGTATTTTCCTACTTTATATCACCAGATAATATCAAATCCCTGTCTAAATTTTAAGATAAATACCTTGTGCATGTAATTGTGATAAATATAGACGTCGATCTCCGTTATTTAAGCTAAAAACTCGAACACAATATACAATCAGTTTCTGCGCTTTTGAGGAAGCACCTGTCATTTTCGTCTTCATAACCACTGTTCATTGAAATGCTGTTTTCTCTGCATCTACATGTAATCAGCTTTTAACCTTAGTCTCATTGGCTGTAACAGGCACTAATCCCCGAATCTGCTTACTTTCATGTATAACTTACGTCTTTTTATCTCTTTTGTGCTACTTTTAGTCCATCACCCAAAACCTGTTCATCCATGAACCATGGTTCAAACTTCCGAAGAAAGACCCATTTGATGTACAATATGATCACATGTGGTTTTGACACAATGGGAAAGTTAAATGCAAGATATTTTTAATATGATGAAATAAATTTTTGAAATGACACTTTATATTTGTAAATTAACATGGGTGAAGAAAGTACATTTGTCTTTATTTACTTGCACTTGTGTTGTGTTATTGTCTCTGATTCTGAAATATGATGGGTAACTTTTAAAATCTGGCCCTACTCTCTCAATGATATCTGATGAATTATGTCTTCCCATGCTTTTATTGAGATTTTAAAGTAACTTCAAATTCAAATATCTGTGTTAGAGTTCAATTTTTGGATAAAAAGTAATTTGAACAAGTAGAACATTTTGATTGGCATTAGAGAATATTGGATATTTTTCCAGATGTATGAAGTTATATTTAAATTAAGGAAAAAACAATTTCAATGATGATGCATCAAGTTGAAATAAAATCTAGAATAAAACTGAAGGTTGTAGAGGGCCCAGAACAAAATGTAATGTAAGAAAAAGAAATTATGTCACTTCCAAGAAGTTACAATTGTTATAGGATGTGTAGTTTTTGTGACCAATGATTTTTTGCTGGTTTTCAGTGTTTGTAACAAATTGCTGCAGTGCTACACTTTTCTTATTGGAACCAGTTGGTGTCACATTTTCCCTCCTAAGCCAAAGGACATTGAAATATACTTTGACACAAATCTACTATCAACCATATATTATTAACCAAAATAAAAATATTAATTCTGTGGAGCAATTACATAAATATATGAAAAAAATTAATCTTATTTTTATTTAAGTTATGTTTGGTATTTTACATGTACATGTGCTTGACTAAAGGTCATTTGAACTAAAATAACCAACTCAGTACTTTTCAGGGCTGTGTCAAAGTGGGTGTAATTTATATTCTCTTGAGAGATGTGTTATAAAAATGAATCTAGATAGATTAGATTATTTACGATATTTTTGGGTATATTTACCATGAATAAATGGGAGTGTAAATCCATTACAAATTACTGGTACCAAGATGTACACTCATGTATGTTTTATCAACTCCTAGAAAGTACAAGGTTCTTTCAGCAGATGTTATATCACAGTGTGACAATCCATAAATTACTAAATACAAATACATTTATTTCGTAATTGCTTGTTTTATAATGAATTAGATTGGAGTTACCGGTTGTCAATTTCATATTACCATTGTAGCTTTACTCAAAGAGCTACAGACAGACTTGTCCAGTGTTTAAACTAAGTCACTACATGCATGGATGCTTTAAACTGTATTGTAGCAGTCAGAGATATTTAATATATTTATTATAACAGCGGATTATTTAAAACCAGAATGCGACAAATACCAAGATTTATTACTTTTTGGAAAAAAACATTACAAGATGTCACTTTTTATGCCTTACAAAGAGAGTGATGTTCCATTTTATGCTGGGTATTAAAAAATTATTTCTCATTTTGTTTATGCTGGCATGGCAAAAAAGGTAGCGCCACATTTTATGCCTGCTTAAAATGTGATATCTTTGTATTTTTCCCAAAAAGTAATCAGTCAGAATATTTGTTCCATGCCTGTTTTAAATAATCTAATGTTTAATCCATCTGATATCTCAAATATGTCGGCACTCTTCTACAGTGGAGTAGCTAAGCTTAACAATGCATTGCTAAACTTAAACTCCAAAATAAGCTTCAAGCTATTATCATACATTATTGTTTTTGAGTATCAATATTATATCATGCTCTGAATTTTGATATATTAATGTTTCTGCTATATAGCAATTTATTTTATTTGGCTGAAACAGTGATTGTGCTGTGTGATTGTGCTGAGCTAAAATGTGTTTTCTGTGATTGTTCCAGTGAAAGTGATTGTACTTTGAGAACAACAATCATCCATACAGCCAGTGAGAATTGCAGGAAGCTATAGGTGCAGTGACATTTATTTATATTTTCTGTTGCATTTTATCTGTTAAATTTAATTTCCTAAAGATATTTAAGAATTAGCTTTGCATGTTAAAATCTTGTTTTGCTGTTATCCTCCTCATACGTCAGAAGTTATTGGTTATATCAGGCTAAGTCAGTTATCACCTTTTGGAGTCATGATCTGCCAATGTAATGACTTTGTCACTTTGTGGAGTCATGATTTGCCAAAGTCGTAACTCTCATATCGACATTATTGTAAAGTCATGATTTCCCCAGATTTATGCAGTCAATAGCTTTTAAGGTTCCCCAGAATTTTATATAAGCAAAATGTTATGCATGTTTTAAAATAATTTCATAAAAATGAAAATAAAGAATGATTTATTTTTAAGAAAGATAATACAGATTAATCTTTAAAACCAACATGTACTTGCTGTCTTGCACAATGTCCTTTCCTGAAAATATTGTCTGCCTTTTTGGTGAATGACACTGTTAGACCATTAGTTCAAGTCAATGGCATTTGTAAACATCACAAATGAAATAAAAAACTGATTATTATTTGGTCTGAAGTCTAATATGGATAGGCAATGATGTAACGAGTAGATCTAAATGTTAAATAAGAAACAAAATTGACATGAAGGAAAAGTTATTATCTGAAATCTGCCAAGAAGTAGAATATGAAAATTCTTATTTGCTATTGTGCGAGTTGGTTGTGCGTGCAAAAATCATAATTGTAATGCTCTCCCTCCAGTTTTGAAAAATTTCATTTTTAACAATAGTGTCATCACATTTCAAACTATATAACTAACATTTTCTATCTAACATAATTTAAAAGAGGAGTAGAATGGATAAATAACAAAATATCAAATGAAATGGAAGCCTTTCTCCATCTCCCTTTAACACTGTCGTATGTGACTATTAGCTATTTCCCTAATCTACATTGCTTTTCCTTGTTGATAAGGAATTATCTGTGTGCACAATATCCAGCTTCTATCAATGATAAGGATCAAAATTGTACACTTGTCTATTATATTAACCTCTTGTGCTTCAGTAATAACACCATTCTGGGAACCATGGGAACCTAAAATATGCTTTATCTACTTTGAAAATACCATGAATAAGTTATCAGCATGACAAACTTTGTTTTGGTTTCATTTTATGAACAGTTTTACGCTTAAAAGATAATGTTATTTTAAAGAACATAGTGACCTGTAAACATGAAATGTTATATGTGTCAAATAGGTATTAAATAATATGAGCATTAAATTTTAGGTTGAAAAGATACTTGGCAGAAGGATCACAGCCCGAGGGACATTTGAGTATTTAATTAGTTGGAGAGGCTACAACAAATCCTGGGATACCTGGGAGCCTGAAGAAAATCTTGGCGCTTGTATTAAATTAATCCAAGCATTTGATAAAGCTCTACATCAGGATAACGGGGATAATTTTGCTCATAAACCTAAGATGAAGGGAGGAGGGGCAGACGGTGAAAGCAAAACAGACACAAAGACTGTGAAGCCAAAGGAAACGGCAAATACTACGACAGGTAGCGCTAAGGTCAAAGGTTCACCAGTATCTGCAAAACAGAAAACTCCTAAAAATACAGGAGGTGTGACTAAGGCAAACACTGCCAACAAAAAGGCAGAAGAAGGAAAAAAGCTAAACAAAAGCTTGAGTAAAGATAAAAACACTATCAAGGATAATGCTAAGAAATTAAAGAAAACAAATGTTGCAAAAATTAGTGTTGCTAAAAAGAAGATTTCTATAGCCAAACAGGGTGGAAAATCGGGAAAGGGTACTAAAATGACAGTCACTATGGTAAATGGGAAACAAAAAAGCTCGAAGGCTTCTAAAAATGATAACACTAAAAAAGAAGTGAAGAAGAAGCAAACTAAAAAGTCTGAACCAGCTGATGTAAAAAAGCCTACACCCAAACCTGACTTTAGCAATCTCATTAAATTATTGGGTTCCAAACCTTTGACTAACTCATCTGGCACTATATTAGTGAAGCCAGTGAATAATAAGACAATTCACAAAACAAGCTTGCAAAATAAGATACGGAAAGGCTTAAAAATCAAACCATTGAATGGACCAAAGTTTAAAAATGGAAAAGCGAGTGTAAGCTCTAGCAAGAAAAAGGTGAATGATGGTGATGATGGAGAGGATTCATCATCATATACTTCAGTCTCGTCAATGTCTTATGACTCAGAAGATTCAGATTCGTTTTACACATTATCGCCACCTGCGAAAAAAGTAAAACACAACAAAGGATTAGAGAACAAATCGAGCACCAAAAACAAAGGTGCCGAGAACAGTACTGTTAAAACAAAAAAGACTGATGTAAATGTAAAGACTGGTGAAAAGCCCAAAACACAATCGCAACCTAATGTTGACTCTCCTAGTACAAGTGATGCTAAGGAGAGTTCAAGCTCTAGAAGAGCAAAGAAAAAGACACAATCAGTAGAGGACTTCATAGCCGAAACACTTGCCAAACTCGACCCTAAATCAAAGAGTGCCCAAAAACTTAAGTCAGAGTTGTATCACCTTACACAAGATGAAATGAAGGAGTTGAAATCACCATCAAAAAGCAAAGAACGGACTACTAAAACATCTGATGCTAAAAATATCAGGTCAGATTTATCGACAGAATTTGCAAAGAAAAAGGTGAAAAAGATTAAACGGGTTAAAAAGAATAATGATCTCAATGTTTCATCACCAAAGAAACAGAAAAACACTGCTCAAAATTCACCACAAAAAGTGAAGAAAAAATCTGGATTATTTAAAAGTATTGCAACTACGTCAGCGGGGCAGCAACGCATGAAGATGCTGAGCAACTGGAACCCATCTAAGAATTCATCATCTAAGATCGTCAAACCAGGTAAGTTAGTCCTTAATGGATAAAGTTCTTGGAGAGAATATGAGCAAACTGATTGATGCTTTTTAAGACTATGCTATTGGCTATCTTAAGATAACAATTAGATTTACATCAGTCCTGTTTGAAATCAATCTACCAAATGTCGACAAATGAAATTGAATAGTATTTATGAAATGCTTTAATAATTTTCATTTATGCTTTGACCAGGGAGTTTCATGCGAATGACCTTATTTAAACATACTGTTAGTACAGTACTAGTCATGCCATTTACTATAGAGTATTCTTTGTTGCGGTTTGTGAGAATTGTTTTTTGTGGAACTAATTTACAAGTTCAATTGAAAGAATAAAAAACAATGAAATTAACGACATTTGATTTGTTTTCCAGTTCCACAGCTGTATGCATCTGCCTTTGCCCCTCCCAGCAGTTACAAAACACCACCATCCTCACCCACATCCCTCAGTCTCATGGGGTCTGCAGCATCCCTTAGGCTGGCAGGATCCCGCTCCACCACCCCGTCTAGTCGCCCAGGGACCCCTAGCCCCCAGAAAGCCATTAATACTATACTCCAGGATCTCCCAATGCAAGTGCGGCAGGGTCTCCCGCCTAATGTATCCATGATACCCATGATTCCTACAAGTCCCTCGGCTGCATCATATCGTGCTATCATAGCAACCAATCAGAAACTTCTCGCTAGTAAAGCAGTAAAACGTAAATTTGATGAGGACGAGGAATATGATGAGCCATCTGAGAGACGATTGAGCGTGCGGCAGAGTGAGAGCTCCTTCAAGTACAAAGATATTGTCGTTAAAAAGTGCTCCAACTATACTCAGATCTGGCTGTTTACACAGACCCAAACAAAGAATGCTTTAAATCCAAAAGTAAGTGCCAATTACCTCTTTTGACTTCCTAAAACAACTCTTACTGATTATTTTTATTTCAAAGTTTATGTGAAGTGTGTTTACTTTTTGAGGGACGTCCTATGTGATTTATCCCTCCCAATTTCGTTGTCTTAGCCCCCTCTCCTTGTGATCAGCGGAATATCTTTATTGAGTTCCAGAAATCAGATACCTATAGCTCAGATGCTTCTTATTTCACTGATGTTCTCTTTATTGAACCAGGCATGTGATGCACTCACATTTTAGTATAATTTTAGGCAAATGAATAGTCCAACAATTTGAGAATAAGTGGGACACTTCAAAGTCCAGTTACCCATTTCACTTAATGTAAAATGAAAATCAATAAGTGGAACACCCCAAAGGCTGAAATGTAACATTATCTTGAGTAAAAGGAGTTCCCTTTACACAAGTTTAACTGTATGTGCAGGGGTTTCACTAGAATTTCTCACAACAGGCTAAATACCAGGTCGTTCAATGAGTTCACGGAAAAATGCTCTCATTTCAAAGATTCTTGATGTTTTCCCATAAAATGTTCACACAATGTTTAAAACATACTTTCTGATTGATTCCTAAATATCTCTAATTAGATTGGTCAAAAATAAGGGTTACTACTATGGTAACTTGACTTTTGGGTAGGCGGGGCAGATATTTTAAGAATCCGTCAGAAAGTATTCCTTATATATTGTGTGAAAATTTCATGAGAAAATATCAAAAATCCTTGAAATTAGAGCGTTTTTCTGTGAACTCATTGAACGACCTGGTATTTAGGCATAATTAATGGAAATCACAAATTTACATGGAAAAGTCCAAAAATCCTTTTAAAAACAACTGGTGAAAATTGCCTTTTGCCTGCTGCTAATGAAACCCCTGAACTGTATATGTATGCTTGACTGCAGGTCCTACAAGAGATCCGTACAGCACTACACAACGCAAGGTTTGATGACAGTAAGCTTGTGCTGCTCAGTGGCTCAGGAAGTGTGTTCTGCTCAGGGGTAGACCTGCCCTATATCACCCAGGCAACAGATAGACGCAGTGCAGCCAAGCAAATGGTCGATTCTCTCAGGTCAGTTTGAGCAGCTTTGTACCTTGTATTTTTTTTATTTATTTATTTCATAAAATAGTTAACAATGAAGTGGGTGACACAAAGATTTGTGTATATTCCCACAGATGGAGTGAGTAAAATACAAGTATGTTACATTATGCAGTATGAAACTGAAGCATATATAGAAGGTGCATGAAATCATAGCCGGTTCATTATCTTTGTGGAATTTGTTTCCCAAAAAAAACATCAGTTCACTAATATTTGAGTTATATTGCCTGGATAGAAAAACAGAAATGTGGATGGATGGTAATTGGTACCCTTCAGTCTCTCAAACAGCTACCTACTTCCCCTTCAGTCTCTCAAACAGCTACCCACTTCCCCTTCAGTTTCCCAAACAGCTACCCACTTCCCCTTCTGTTTCTCAGACAGCTACCCACTTCCCCTTCAGTCTCTCAAACAGCTACCCACTTCCCCTTCAGTTTCTCAGACAGCTACCCACTTCCCCTTCAGTCTCTCAAACAGCTACCAACTTCCCCTTCAATCTCCCAAACAGCTACCCACTTCCCCTTCAGTCTCTCAAACAGCTACCAACTTCCCCTTCAATCTCCCAAACAGCTACCCACTTCCCCTTCAGTCTCTCAAACAGCTACCCACTTCCCCTTCAGTCTCTCAAACAGCTACCCACTTCCCCTTCAGTCTCTCAAACAGCTACCCACTTCCCCTTCAGTCTCCCAAACAGCTACCCACTTCCCCTTCAGTCTCTCAGACAGCTACCCACTTCCCCTTCAGTCTCTCAAACAGCTACCCACTTCCCCTTCAGTCTCTCAAACAGCTACCCACTTCCACTTTGCTTGATGAAACCACTTATTGACATCATATCTTGAAAGGATTTATTTTATGCAAATCGAACCTTTCACACTTACACTACCTGAAAAAAACTGAATTTTGACCTACAGACACACACAAATGTCATAAACTGCTGCAGTGTTATCCACAGAATTTTTTTCAAGTGGGTGCAAAATTCTCATTTTCACAATTCAGACCAGAATTGGTCAAAATATGCCCTTTTTCATAATTTTTCTCATTTTCAAGTGGGTTCAAATTGATTTTCAGGTGGATGGAAGCTTATATTCAAAACCTCAGGTTGGTGCTGTGCCCACTTGCTTTAATGCTTAGGAGATCACTGTGCTGACTTTCGCTTATGAACAGGAACAAGCATAATGTCCAATTCAGGCACAGTTGGCAAAATCTTTGGGTCGTATACAAGTGTGAACCCTTGAATTAAATAACCTACCCAATGAGTCTCCTTAATGTATTTATTATACTTTTCAGGGATTTTATTAGTGCTTTGATAGCATTCCCAAAGCCGATAGTAGCTGCTGTTAATGGCCCTGCAGTTGGTCTAGGTGTTGGTATATTACCATTATGTGACATTGTGTTGGCCAGTGACAAGGCCTCCTTCTATACGCCCTACTCGAGGCTAAATCAAACACCTGAGGCATGTGCCTCTTATACTTTGCCTCAGGTTATAGGACTTGCCACGGTAAGTTAAGATCATTCTCCCGCATGTTGTCCTTAATTTCATTCTACATCGATGTCAAGTAAAATTTAAGTGGAACACCTCTTATAAGTGAACACCTCTGTAATTGGAACACCTGTTCTGTGACCAACTGACTTAATGTTAATTGAACATTTCCCAAGTGAAACATTTTTATTGTACAATGGTGTGAATCAGGAATGAATTGTTTTTTCATTCTGAAATGTGTTTTTCATAGATTCCCAAGACCATGTTTAACTTAATCTACATGGCAGTTCTGTAGAATATTTGGGTTTAGAATATGATGAATGTGTTAATGACAGTAATTATCATGTATTACTAAAATATGTTAACATATGTAATCATCACATATTGCTAAGGGAACACTAAAGTAACAGTTAGCAGAGGATCTCACAATGAGACCCAGGGTTTACCATATATCCCGTGAAATAACATTTGCATTGTTTGTAACACCCAAAAGCTCTTTCAATTTAGCACCCAGGAGCTCAAATGGGAAGTTCTTTTTGAGAGAATATCTGATCTTACAGTAAACCAAATATTTTTTGAAACTCAAACAATCTATAATTTTTATTGTTAATTTTAATTAAAAATAAACAATCAATGTTTCAATCGATTCTCTTTAAGAGAATGAAAAAAATCACTTCATCCCCTCATTTATAATCCCATGGAATCTTTTTCAGTTTAGTGCCCATGGGCAGGTCTCATAACAAGAATTTTCAGTAAATGTGATGTTAAAATTTTTCTTTGACAATTGCAGGCCAATGAGATGCTGCTAGGAGGACGTAAACTGACTGCAATCGAGGCATATCAGATAGGGCTGGTCTCCCAAGTGTTCTGGCCTACTAGCATGATGCAGGAAGTAATTCCCAGGGTACAAAACATGGCCATGTGCTCAGCCAAGGTGAGTTTATTTGTATTAGACCTGAATTTCCCAGGGTACAAAACATGGCCTCGTGCTCAGCCAAGGTGAGTTTATTTGAATTAGACCTGAATTTCCCAGGGTACAAAACATGGTCTCATGCTCAGCCAAGGTGAGTTCTTTTGAAGTAGACCTCAATTTCCCAGGGTACAAAACATGGTCTCGTGCTCAGCCAAGGTGAGTTTATTTGTATTAGACCTGAAATTCCCAGGGTACAAAACATGGCCTCGTGCTCAGCCAAGGTAAGTATTTGAATAAGACCTGAATTTCCCAGGGTGCAAAACATGGTCTTATGCTCAGTCAAGGTGAGCGAAGAAAGTTGTGAAAAAATTGTGAAACTAGTTTTTGAAAAATCCCCACACTTCTAAGAGAATCCTGGGGAGATCACTCACAGTAAAATTGTCTGCATCGAAGGTGCAAAATGTATCAAGACTATTTATATGTAAAATAATAAGTTTTGTTTGTTATTAATTAATTATTTGACTATTGGTTTGTCCTCGTTGTTGAATGTCCTTCAGTGTCAGGCATCTATAAAAGTAATAGCACAATTATGCATTTAAATCCAATAATGGGTATGTATTGTTTGTTTCAGGCCATGGAATGCAGTAAGTTATTAATACGAAGCCACCAGAAAGCCAAGCTTGAATACACAAATGAGACAGAGTGCAACATGCTGCTAGAAAGATGGTCCTCTAATGAATGCTACAAGGCTATGAACACTTATCTCCTGCAAGAGCAAGATATGCTGATATGAGAGTGTCCTCTAATAAAATATCATTTGTGCATGTTGTGTGTAATACTTGTACAATTTGCACAGATTTATTATTGCGTTATTTAAACGTTAAAATCATGCCTGTCCTGGTTAAAGGATCGTGTCCAATTACCAAGACTTGTAGAAAACTAAATTAAGTCTGATTTGTTTTGTTCCCTTCAACTTATATTATGAAATTCTTCAAGTGTTGATTAATATTTCAATTGCATATAAATTAAAAAATCAATTCTTCATTAGTTAAATCATTATATGCTCCCTCCCTTAATGAAATTTATTCTGTTTTTCCACAAGTGTCAATAATTTCACACCATCCCTAAGTTTTCTGTAGGTGGAGTATAAATCCTTATTTGTGTATTTATAGATGGGGTAACATCATTTAGTTCAACATGAATCTTAAATTATTCACCCAATCAAAATAAGGTTTGTTAAACAATAATTCAATACTATCCAACACGTCCATTGGATGCTGCATTGAGAAAAAAATCCATTATGTTAAGATACCTCCGATTGATAACATTTCTTACATTACTTTATGTGGACTTGTGTGTTTCAAGGATTTCAAATGAAAATTAATGAGCCTGTAAAATGGAAGCACGATAGACCCTTGAGTCGATCTCAAAGTCTCACCAATTAAAGTCTATTCATTTTTTAATTGTTATTTGTTTGAAAATGTTTAAGACAGAAATGGTTGTTTAATTTCTGTTTCATTCGTGTGAGCACTTGATGTCATGCTTAGTTATACAGACTGCCACTTGAGAAGCATATCACATCATTTAAATAATTTTATTCATTTCCTCAGAGAATTTTTTTATGTAGAACTATATTACATCAGTCTATTCCTTATGCAGTCTGCTGTTAAGTCAGACACCTAAGAGTTAATAGGAAATGTTCCCCCAAATTTTTGATATAAAACTGTAAAATCAAAATTGGTATTCTGGAACCAGTTTTTTCCAGAAATGTACTATTTTGATGCAAAAAATTACAAATTAACCCTGGTAGACTGGAACCATCTATTTCAGTTGCATACCATTCTTGGCTAAAAACGTTTATTTTGCTCAAGCTCAAGTAGTCAGTCACTTTTAATATAATATTTGTGACTGTGTTACACAGTATCATGCACATCACAAAGAGATGTTTGAGTTGTTAATTCTATTCATTTACCTGAATCATTTGGTTCCTAAGGGCTGTGGCAAAAACTGTGGTGTGTTTCGTGTTATAAAATGGCATATGGTTGCATTAAAATTATATATCCATTACTTAATTTGCGTAATGCTGAACAATCATGGACCATATCTCAAATTGCCATTCCCATTGAGAGTAGTCCAATAAAAACATATCAAATTAGAAAAATGCCACTTGCCCCAAGAATCTTTACTGCATAGAGGAAGATGCGTTAATAAATTCTGAATGTAAACATGATTTAAAATTTAAAATATCGAAGAAGGGCATAATGAAATAAATAAATAAAGTCACAATTGATGCTTCAATTAGGTCCATTGCTTTATTCAGTTATATGCCTTTATGCATTATGGTTCAGAGACTGTATTTTCTGTTGGCTATGTCAGTATGTACCTAACTGTGAATGGACTATTAACTGAATATAATTGAGCAAAACTTAAATGCTAATAAATCATTGTCAAATTAAAACAATGGAATGAAATATTGAATTTTAATGAACATGTAAGGTAAGTGTACTTGGACAGATTGTAAATACATGAAATATGGCTTTTGTCCAGATTTATTTCAGAATTATTCAGATTGAACTGAACATATATCCAGCATTGTCTGAACATTACAATGGCTACATCACAAGTATGAAATCAATTATCATACTGTATTAGAATACCATGATATCTATAACTCATTTGGTACCAATTTTAATTTGGAAAATCTATCATCAAGAAAACAAACTAATTGATCAATAGATTATAATCTCCACATTTACAAATGCTTATACATTATCACAAGGAAGTTTTTAAAATTCTTGTAAGGTTTATGAAATTCATTGAAAATTGTATAGAAGCCAAATTGATGTATAAAATAGCCAAATTGATGTATAAATAGCCAAATAGATGTATTAAAATAGCCCCTGAATACAGCATGAAAATTAAGCAACAATATCTGTATATAATGTAAAATATTGTAAATTCTTATTAGATATATTTATTTTAAGAGCTAGATCTCTAAAGATATATTATTACATGTCTGTCTGTATTGTGTCATGCTGGTGATTTTGTTATGAACGGTCTACGGTCTGTTTGAATTGAAATTCATGCATGAATAAAAATGATAACAAACAATTTTATTTTGTCATTTTATTGCACCATTTTAGTCTTGTGGAACAGAAGTTTGTGGACGTTTCAGCTCTCTTCCAAGGAGTATTGGCTCCCAGAGTACAACAACGATATTCAGTCCCATATATGGGCATGTCGTGATACAAAATTCTAATTCAAACAGCCGCTATTTTGTTCATTTCAACATTTGGATCGTGAATTTTGGTCTTATTTCCTGACGAAAAATTCCAAAACTCACAAGAAGTGATCGAGATATTGGTTCGAATCTTTTGAACTGTTAACACTCCAAACTAGTTCTCAACTGTTCCTTCCAGTCCTACGAAAAAGTCGTAAAACGGGCTAAATCTGGCTGTCTTCGGGAAATATGTCTAAAATAGCCTAATTAGCTATTTCGTCTTCAATACAAGTTGTACGTCCATCTTATTCGCAGTTCGTTCAGATCGCACCATGTCTGTGTGCACACGTATTGCAATTGATATCCGATTGCACGACGCTCGCCTCCAGAGTAGGGTTGAAGCACGGCAATTATGTTCCTGGTCTACTAGGTCATCTCGTTTGAAGTACGTTGTCACACGATCTGATTACAGAACGGTATGGTCTCCATCGAATTTTGAATCATTTCAAAATTCAAATATCACCTTCCCGTCTGAGAACGTTAAAGAATTCGAAGTTCGTAAATAGACCTTACATCCTGGGAGCCAATCCTCCTTCCCTCTCTACATAGTAACCGAACACAAGAAGTCATACACGTCTTTTTTCCTGGTAACTTCAATTCTCAATAATTTACATGAAATATTCAATGGATACACTTTAAAGCATTGAATTGTCGTTGTTCAGTCCTACTTGGGACGTTTTCTGTCTGTGGATGTATTGAGAATGAGGTAGAAATATTTGCAAACGGGTCTAATCTGATAAAGGACGTATTAAAGATTGATTATGAATTAAGGAGTTAAATAGCTATCACACAAAACTAGTTGCCATTGCAACTATCTACGGTCCATTTACGAACTTGATGGACGAGCTAGGACGGTAATGTGATTTAGAATTTAAAATAATTTCAGATTTGGAACGTAATTGCTGTACTGCAACCCTACTAAGGCTGACGGATCTATAAGCTATCAAGGGGGGGGGGCACATTTCCAGTCATGAAAAAAGATCCCCCCAGAATACGTTTGTGCGTCAAGGTGCGACCTGAACGACACTTGTACACAGTGGTTCGCGAGCACGGATCTCTGTGCGTGAGTGGAGAAATATTCGGGAGCGAGGAAATAGTGGTGCGCGACTAAAGATTTTACGCTCGCAAAGTTACAGCCAGATTTTACAGTGGCGTAGCTACATGTACGCAAAGTACGCACCTGCGTACACTCACATTTTCTAACAGAAAGAATAAGATTTCTAGATTTCCGCTCTTTACCCAGTTCAAAATCGTATAGCTGGTAATCTGCCGAATTAATGGACGTAGGTCATATGTATCAAACGGATTTCATATATCAATGATATCGTACATGTAAATGTAAAATCGGGGTTTCTTTATGTCTGACTTTGGAAACTCAAACTAATTCGCTCTAGTCATAATATATTTAATTTCAATAGATATAAAAACAACTTCTCAGTGTTAGAAATAACCCTCACAATGGGCTTGTTGCAAGGTGTGATATGTGGCATTCCGTATTTGATTCTCGACAAAATGATATATTTGCATGGGAGAGTAACATATTGTCTTAAACATCCATTATATAGCGGTATAGAGCCAGGAACGTTTACATGTCAAAATGATCATGAAAATATTGTTAGTGCTAGAACTGTCCAAGTGTACCTGCATCGATTAGCACGACAGCGAACGATGTTGAACTTCGAAACGTACCAAAACACATACGTTTAACTATGAACGAGAAAAGACTGAAGACCTTCTTTGTGTGCGAGTCTTAGCTTCGTGCGAACACTGAAAAAATGGCTGATCTACGTCTTTGATTTACGCCTTTTTTAGGAGTCGAAAGAACGGCCGAGAACTAGTTCGGTGTGATGAGGAGGGGGTTACCTGTAGGCCTATTTGTATTATAGTTTTACATTAAATCTCACACATTCATGAGACTACAATAATTATGGATATTCCACTATATGAGGATTAATATGTTCATTTTATTTTAAATATTTAGATAAAATAAAAATTGTTGTATCAAAGAGCAAAAGCCTTTTCTGGGTCACAGCGAATGGCATGATTTCCTCGAGTCTCTTCGGTTGCAAGGCAACCATACTGGGACCGATTCTTGTCGTTCCACTACTGCCCTTGGTGGGGGCTCGCTACCATACTGTATGACTCCCGGAGTCTACTATAGCACGTCAGTGGAGGAACCAACCACAGTCTCACAATCTGTCTCTGACAAGAGCAGTCAGAGAACCGACCCAAGCCAAGGGCCGAGGTTGGACCTTCGGACCGAGTGTCCTGTAGTACCATTATCAAAAACTCCGTACCTGGGGCTCGAACGCGGGACCTCCGTATCCCTCGACGCTCGACCGCAAACTAGTCTCTCTACGCCACGAGGCTATTCTGCTCAGGTGTCAAAACTGCTCAAAAATATAATATTTGTAACAATATTTTGCATGGATAAACACGAACATACTCGTTATAATTCTAATTTCTAATTGACTTGTACTCCGTAATCGAATTACTAATTATAAACAACGACAATCACCACGAATTTACACGCTCTCGTAATTGGCCATACTACTTCGTATAAATGCATAAGGAATGCTTTCATGAGTTGGGGAATAAAATTATGTTTTTGACTTCAATAATGAAAACGAAGCAGATTGACTACCATTGCTCAAGTCGGTCTATTTTACTTATCTTGATTTCTATTATGGTTATAGTTCAAGATCAGATAAGTAAAAAAGTTAACTCAGGCAAGGCTACAGATTGGCTTGTAAAAAGTTATTCAAAGTTTGTTATAATTTTCATTATCCAATATGAACTGAAAATTTAAGGGTCATGAGACCAAGGGACTGGAGAAAGCGGAATCAAAATGGAATAAGGCAATAACATATGCAAATGTCACCACCTGCTATTTGTTACAGATACCAACCAAGAGACTATAAGCGGTGTAAAAGGGTAGGAGGTCCTATTAATTTATGGTCCTACTCTCCATTGATTTATATGGTGAACTCTTTCCCTTATTATCTTACACACAATCAGGGCCAGTAAGGGCCGTTAAGGGGGGAGGGGGCATAGGCCCTGGTGGACCATAATTTCTTTCACACCGGTGTGAAAGAAATCATGGTGACATAATAAGAATGTAAGTCCAGTTAATTGTTTGTTTGAACATGACTTAACTGAAAATG